CTTTCCCCAGACCCCGCACATTCTGCTACGCTCCTTTCACCATCTATTGGAGCAAGAAGGTATCACTCGGGAGATGAAACAGGCGATCTATATTAAGCTGCTTCAGATGCTTCTTTTATGCTTGAGGATCATTTATATGCAGAAAATCTACTACGCGGGACAGCTGGCTTTACTCCCGCTCCAAAGGAAGGAATGAGGAGGATTTTTTCATCCTTAAAAATCAGGTTTGAACCTGCAAACTTGGGTATAACAGTCTGAAACACTAACCATTACACCATCAAAGTCCCACACTCAAAACCTGCATTTTCGCTGCTTCAAGACACTAGTTTCAAAATCACAGAATTAGTTAGATATTGAAATACACCAAGATGTATTGACTCGTATTGCAAAATTAAAACTAGCAGAGACTACAGCAGCACATACTTTCTTGCATATTTTGTAACTTTTGCAGTTTTCAAATATTTAGATAGATCAACAAAAATTGGACTTGCACAATTTTTACAAGCACACTTTGCACTATTCAAGAAAAAGTTGAATCAGTTTCTAAAATTGTCTATTTAACGCAAAATTACATGAAAATCACTCATATTTTGAAAAAAATTGAGTTCCTGAAACCTCATTCAAGGGTAGAATTTTAAAGAACAGATTTAATTCAGAAGAACTACCTTTATCTTCAATATTGGAGTTGTAGAAAGATGACAAAAATATTTGCAATTTTCAAAAATTCAGAGAATTCAACACATCGACCTTGCATTGCACGTACTTTGCTCTCTCTGCAAGAAAAAGAAAAAAAAACAACAAGAAACAAATTTTGAGTTATTTTTGAGAAAATTTTGAAAATCCTTGAGTTTCAATTACCCCCAAAAAGCACTGTTTCAAATTCAAGGAACCACGACATCAGCCAGATTCATCAGGTAACACCTGCCTGTACCTAGCTACTAGCATTGTTGAAAGACTGACTGTCCAATATTTCTGCATAAAGGAGCCATATAACATGAATTCTAACTACACAGTGTGATAGAGGAAGTAATATACTACAAGTAGAAACAAAAAGGAAGCAAGAGAGTGAAAAAAGAAAGAGAACAAACTTGGTAAATATAACATTTTACTTTCTAGCTCAGGCACATTGTGAGAATAATACAATCAATATTTCAATTTCATTATCATACATCAAATATCCTCAAACCTTTAAAAATTTTAATTTTAAGTAAATATATTTCAAGTAAATACATACACACAAATTAAGTCGCAGACCAATGCCATTCCAGAACCTGAAGAACACCAATGGATGTCAACAATGGACTCCAGAATAAATTGCACTGTAATTGAAGGAAAATTTTATATATTTAAGAAATAATCCTACTTGTAATTAACAATATAATATTAATCATTTTATGGAATTTTGTATTAAAATATTTTCAGTTTTTGAGGTATGGCAAGGGCATTTATAGTCTGAAAATTTTTATACTTGCGATCCTTTCCATGGAGAGACAGATGGTTCTGTCCTGTTTAGAAGAACTAGTTGAACATCCACTATGTTGCTCCAATTGCACTACTATTATCTATATTGACAGATACTAATATAAGATTACAATGTGTTCGTAGACAGGTCTAGCATTGAAAGTACGGCAGAATTTCCATGACACGACAGGGTAACAGCTAGGAATTCTTTTGTAAACATCTGAAAAGTATTGCCAAAGCACCGCTGTCAGTTAGGAAAGGTTCTAATAACAAAAGTATTAGATTTTTTTTTTCTGCCTGTAGATATAACAATTTTTTTAGACTGTATTTAGTCATTGTTTTATAGATAGATAATTGTTTTTTGGATAACAGTTTTACATAAAATACAATATGATTACAATACACTAAAATATGAAATACATTAATGGCCACGTTTCAGAAATGATTTACGTTTCAGAATTACTTAACATCAATGTAATCAATTTATCCCAACATACTGCCATACTTTCCTGCTACTCGGAACTTCAAAATTTTTTTGTCAAGGTGCGTTCCGTACAGTAACTTGTGTACATTTATCTGTTCAATTCTGACCATTGTTTAAAATACTGTATTTATTTCTTTTGACATTTTTACTCCAGCCTGAAGATGGAAATAATTACATTATCGAAATACCAATTATGCTATTTATGTACCACATATTTTAGTATATTGCAATCATATTGTATTTTATGTAAAATAGCTATACAAGATTTTATTTTGTCTATAAAATAAAGACAATATACAGTCCAAATAATAATAATAATAATAATAATAATAATAATAATAATGATAATAACAGCAATAACAAAAGTTCTAATGGATGGAACTCCTCACCTAAATAAAGATGAAAAGAAAAATCTGTGCCGGGATTCATTGTTGATACCCTCCTCTCCCACTGGTGTGTGACTCGAACATTAAAACTGAAAAATCTACCCGATCAATCTTACAAAAACTAATGTTTAATATTTACTTATAGCCTTCCCACATATAGACAGAAATAAAATATTTTTAAAAAAATTTTCGCGTAGGCGTTATTGCTTTGTAATTACACGTACGTAATGGAGGAAGATCACAATATATCATTCCCTCCAATGAAAATATGTAGACAGGATTTCCAAGCAAAATCAAGTTTTGATGAAAAGCTACCGTAAGTAGCTACCTTCATACTTTATACCTTTATACTTTATCATATAATAAAGCATATTTAGACTTTTACCTGGGTCTAAAATACTTTTTATTATGTATTTTACATAAATCATTTTTACATTAAAATTAATAAACATTTCCAAATCTTAAAATCTAACGATGGTCTTGTGTTGTAGTCATTTCTTCCATTGATACTTTACTTGTTTTAAAATTTTCAGAAGTTTGGCTGAAATTCTAGTCTAACTAACTCTCTTTGGGGAGAAAAAAAAACGAAAAAAGAATGAAGACTCCTTAAAACAATAATGACAAGAAAAACAATTGGGAAAAAGTCTAAAAAAATTTTTATGAGTGCCAAACCTTGACTAAAAACAGTTGTTGGAGCAAATAATTGTCATTTTTGTTGTGTTCTTAAATTATACTAAACATTTTATTACTATGATGACAGCTAGTGAATTGAAATTAATGGGATACAACTAAAGAAAATGTCCCACAAGACTTAAGGGCCTAGATCTGGTTGATTTGAACTACACAAGTAATTCCTGTTGAAAAGTAATAAAAAGTTTCTTAGAATCATATATCACATTAATACAGTTTAATATCTTACAAACTGCAAAACAAAATAGCCAAATTAACAATTTTTTTAACCAAAAAACAGCTTTAAGCACACAACAATTTTTTAAAATTGTTTTCCCATTTGCGATGTGCCTCTTTACGGAGGCGATTGACTTCAGCATATACCTAAGGAGGCCCATCATCACTTGGAGGACTGTGTGAAATGCTATGTGCTAGCTAGAGCCTACAAGTTCAGGCATTTATTTTACCTACAATAGGAAGGCATTCAGTTTTACTAAAATAGGCATTAAAAAGCCATTTATTATTGCTTTTTGTTTTATTCACGACTCAGCACTTTTCCTCCTTAGCACTTGTGTAATCGCCAGCACTGAGTAGGGTATATTGCACACAGAGAGCAGTCCTCAAAAGGGATTTGAGGCCATACATCAAAGTAGTATGGGGTACTTTGTGCACATTTCAAGCCTGTCGGCATCTATGAAAAAAAAAAGAAAAAGAAAAATCAAAAATAAGTTTTTACACAGCCTCTGCTTCTACAGAAAGATTCAATATGACCAAGCTTTTAAGTTGCCTGGCCTTTCAGGTATACATCTAGCTTCATCGAAATCTCTCTCAGGAGTAAAAAATTACATCAAAAGCAGAAAACAGCAAAATGAAAATCTTCTAAAACAACACCAGAAGCATAGTTAAGTTATTCCTATTGTCAAAAGTAATGAAATGGTAGCATGAACAAACAGCACTTTGCCAAACTTCCGGGCTCTAGTTCTAGCAATTGAGGGGAAGGAGGGAGTTTGCGAAGTTACAGAAATCAAAAGTAACTTTAAGCATCGTGAATACCTGCCACAAGAGAAACACAAAGAGGAATGGGGGTGGCAGAGCAATGAGCAATATGAAAGCAATATTCAGATAGAGATGTTGTCACGACTTCCTTGTCATCAACTTCTGACCATTTCCTCCAACTACCATTTGTTTATTTTGTTTGGCTCTGTTGTATATCCATTCCCCACTTTTCTTACTCTTCTATTAATTTTCTAGTCATGTAATTGATATAAGACAGTTAAAGATCATTTTATGGAGGAATTGACAACAGATTGTGCATGTTTATATGCATATTACAGGATTTGATTTTGCATAAAAATCCTGTCTTTAACCCATTTACTTGATAGCAGGCCACGTTATTTAACACTTTTCAATTTTCCCATCTCTTTAATGCAATGATATTAATATAAAACTAATTCTTAGCAATGGTTAATGGTTATCAAAGTATGCAACAACCAACTTGTTGGACACACTGAAACGAACACAAAGAAGAATCGAATGCACCAGTGGTTTCAGAAATACAATATCTGCATAGTTAAACATGAACTTTCCAAACACTCGTCTAAAAGTGAGAAACACTTAAATGCAGATTTTCAATCCGAAGAAATACACAAAAGGTTTCAGATTGCAAGCTTATTTTCAGTTAACATGAATACCTCTTTTTCAACATAACAAGGAAATTACCCATCCAGTACTGATGTTTCAGCTGCATTTAATGTTAACAATGATCCAAGCCCTTTGAATCACACCATTCTGAACTCTCATGTACAGCAAATACACACAATAATAGTTGCTTACATAATTAGTGCAGAAAGTGAATCTGGCATAAAAATGAAGCGTTGATAGATGACGCCATGATAGGAGCCTCATTTGGCATTTTAAAAAGGAGTACACCAAAGACACCTTTGTACAAGTTGAAAACAATATTTTTTGGTATGAATTCATGGAAACTTATAAGCAAGTTTTGATTTCAGGCAGAATACGACAGAACAGCATTCAGATAACTCTGAGATAATTATTAAATTATAATATAAATATTTCTATTAAATTAATCATTAATTTCAGACATGTTCCAGAAACTAAAAGTTTATTAATCAAGCACTGTCTGTAAGTAAATTCTCTGGGGTTCATTCTCAATATGCAAAGCGGGAGCCATGTGGATTCCAGTCACCCCAGTGTTTTACTTCATTTGATTTACACAGTAACGACATCTTTGCAGAACACCTATGGCAAAGTCCATTTCACCATACGTGTATTCAAAAGAAATGTTTTCCTATCAATAAAGAGTGAATGTAAATACCAGTTTCCCCGTGTAAGCACAGAAAAGTTACCTTAAACACCACAGATAATAATACATAGCTGCATTCCAAGCCTTCTTGTGTATATATTCCTATTATTTATTTCTGCACAGCACTTTAACAGTTCTATTGGGGACAACAGGTTGCGGTTAAGATATCTCTAACCATGAAAATAAGCAACTCAAAGCAAGTGCAGCAATGATTTTTATGAACTTTAATTTCATTATTATTAAAATTATGTATTTTCCTGAAAATATGTTTCTGCCCAGGGAATAAAACAAAGACTTAATATCTATTTACTAACCTTGCTGATTACAGTGTAAGACTAATTTCATTTATCCATTTATTAACTAATACGTTTCTGAATATCATTTAACCGGCAAATGAGCATAAAATGTTTGTTGAAAAGAAATTGAAGCATGAGCACCTTCATAAAACATTACCTTTTCTCACTTCAGAAAACGTTTGTGAACGGACTCCAATGAGTTATTAAAGCTCAAATATCATTTAATCCCGAGACACATAAGGTTGATCTCTCAAATGACAGTAGATAAAGCATCATAGAAATTTGTCAAAACACTATCCTTCTCAGAACCTATCTCTCAGATGTCGTAGTATCCTTTTCGTACCAAAAGGCTTTACCTGTTCATCATCAGAATAGTCTCAATTAAACCACGTGCAATATAGCATCCTGAATCTCAGGATGGTAATACAATGTATATAACTTAAATGATTTTCTAACATAGAGCTGGTTCTTTTTATTATTAAATATTGTAGTTTAATAAAGTTTTAAAATTTCAACATCAGTAAACATATTTATGGTGTGTTTGTGCCTGAAACATCCAATAGTCAGTCTGTAAAGCAAGATATTACAAAATTCAAATAGTGCATCTGAAAGATCACCATGTGAACTTGAATAACTTTTACTAGCCTGCGTGCCACCGGGTTAAATACTGAATTGTTTTCCTTCCTACAAATTTTTTTAACAAGAAGAAATATATATGTTGCCAAAAAAATTAAGTTTAGAAGAATTTGGTGCTACCGAGCTTATATTTAGAAGATTTTCACAAGATAAATATAAAACGATGAGACCATGATTTATTTATCACAATGAATTTGGATGAGACCAATTCACTCTTGATAAGAAGGCTGCTGTGCATTCTGTGATTCATATTTACTAAATGCTTTCACGTTATATTCTTTGGTGAAATTTTAACCCAAATTTGAAATGTAAGTCTTAATCAATAAAATACTTAAGATCTAAAAGATATAGATTAGCAAACACTAGCAAATCCTTTTCATACACAATATCAAATACATAATCCAATGCAAAATTACAATTTCAACACAATAATACCTTCTTTAATCAATACTAAGCACTTTTAAGAACAGTCTTTCTCAATAGTCAAACAAGCATTATGAACAAATTCCACGTTGTAGAGCTAATACTCCCAATATTCGAGAAAGCATGACAAAAATTAAAGTAATAAAACAGAAAAAGAAGAAAAAAAAAAAAGGGGGGGGAATGGAGTTATGTCACATTGAAAATAAGCTCTTCAATTCGCCAATAAAATACGTTAGGTGTATGTGGCAACATATACACAAATATTTCAGTTTTGATCTTCATGTACTAAACTGTGGAGAAGTACAAATAAATAAATATGATTTATATCAAATCTACACAACATGACTGTAAAAATTATATGGACAAAAACATAAATTTAAAAGTTCGAATATTTCAACACAAACATTTAACATTTTGTTCTATCCTCTCCATAAAACAATAATAGCAACTTCATTCACACTATTGATTTGTTCTCTTGTTAATACTTCTTTCTTCTTATTTACAAGATCATTAGAATAATCCAATTAACTGATTTCTTACATGTAACACTCACAATGCTGAATAATGATTTTTATGAGACTTTATCTGCAGATTGCACATTATCAAAAATGTATGTAGTCAAATTTTGAAGTGCTTTAGACAATTAGAGTTACAAACAAAATTTAAAGTTTTATATGATCCCAACTGGGAGGTGGAATAAATAGGCAGGCCCGTCTCCTGATGCAAAGGGAAAAAACAGTCTGACGACAGTAGCACCTTAATAGCCAAAGGGCAAAAATCAACTTGTACGCAAGTTGACAAGGAACTAGCTCCAATGTGATATTTGAATCTCCAGCATTTCTACATACTCTTTGCATTTTTACACAGTAAGAAATAATTTAATAATAAGAAATGGTGAATTGTTAAAATTTATTTTCCAATTATGATTAATAAGGGAAATTTTTAGATTACAAATATATTCATATAGTAATTCCAATGAACTCCTTTGTCAACATTGTAATTGATGTGATATTGACTATATGCATTTTCCATTTCTGATTCTACATTTTTTTATTAATAATATTTGAAACTACCAGTATAATGATACCAGTCATATATCATACAACAGTAGGTGTTCTGTATATTGTACATTAAACACTAGCTGTGAATTATTTGTGAATGAGAATAATCATGTGATTATCTGAAAAAAAATATCACATTAGATTTGGTGTCCGGTACCCAGGTAATTATTCCTACTTCGAAACCTTTTTTTCTCTCTATGAATGAGATCCTCTTGCAACAGTGTGGGTGGACCCAAGGTCGCATCATTGGAAGCTGCATCAGCCCGTGATGACCTCCATCTTTTGCCCTTGCTCATCTATATGCCAACAAAGGCTTTACAGTGCTTACAATTTTTGCTCATAATTCTTCTTCAATTTGTCAAAAGCATTTCAAAATCTAACTTCATACATTTTCCACTCTCCACTGGTGAAGTCACTTAAAGATTCATGTGAGCAACACGGTGAGAGTTGCGTTTTAGATATATTAAAATTTCTACAAGGACACATTTTGCCCGTTCCCGGTATCAACATAAGAGCATTCACCACTTTTTAAGTTGTTAAGTCTAATACAGAATACCTCTTTTAAACAAAACAAAAATAAAATGGTCTTTAAGGCTTCAATTTACTTAAGTTTCTACATAGTTGGGGTCCCATTTCTAGAATAACAATACGTTAGAAACCAATTGCACCTAAACTTTATAATCAATTAATGCTTTTTCACATCATTGTTTTGGGTTGAAACAACATTCCTTTTGGGAGTTGACTTATTGTGTGTTTGTGTATATTTATAAATAAATATACTCAAATTGGTGTTCAGTGCCCAGGCAACAACTTGGAAATATATTTTTGCACTTCTGTTAATGAGGCAACGGTCTAGTTTGATCCAAGGTTACACATGGTACCGAAAGTCACATCAATCTATGATCTTCCCAATCCCTTGCCCCTTTTTGCCTAACAGCCAATGGTGACTCTACAACAATTTTCAAAAGATTGTCAAAAGTACATCAAAATTTGATTTTATTCATTTTCAATTAAACATTCTTTGCAGATGGTCACAAAAAAATCCATGCGACAGATGGTGAGTGTTAGATGTAATACAAATTTCTAAGAGCACACACTTCGTCCCCTGGTACCACCATAAGCACTTTCACCACTTTTTAAGTTGTGTTTTATTACAGAATACCTATTTTAAACCCAAAAAATCAGTCTTAACACTCCATTTTTACTCAGGTTCTTACATAGTTGAGGCTTCACCTCTTGGATAACACAACAATAGAAACCACTTACACCTCAATTTCATCATTAACTGACGCATCTTCACCTGAGTGAGGTTTCACTTCATTGTTTTGGGTGTTCATGACATTCCTTTTGGAAGGAGTTGAATTAATTGTGTGTGTGTGTGTGTAGGTGTGCAAATATCACACTCATATTTATATCCAGTCCCCAGACAACTACTTAGAAATCTAGTTTCACACTTCTGCAAACAAGACCTTCTGTCAATGGGTTTCGTTCAAAGTTACACTGATGTCTGTGACATCCTCCATCTCTTGTCAATGTCTGTGCTCACTTAATGGAGTCTTTTCAACACTATAATTTTTTTTCCAATTTTCAAAGAAAAAGAAACCTTCAAAATTTAACTATAAAAGTTTTTGAATATATAATACCTGCTGATAGTGCCCCACCCTTCATTCAAATCCAAGTGTCTGACGTGATGAGTGTTGCACATTAGATACAAAACAAATGTCTAAGAGTACATGCTTTATGCCTGGTCAAAAGCACATCCACACCACTTTTAAAGTTACATTCAATTGCAGAACGCTCTTACAAAAAAACAATAAAAAAATCAGTCTTTTAAGACTCCACTTTAACTCAGGATCCAATGCAGTTGGGACCTCATTTCTTGGATGACACTACAATAGACACTACTTGCACCTCATCGTCATCATCAGCTGATGCTTTTTCACCCGAGTGAGTGTTCACTTCAATGTTTTGGTTTTTAACATTTCTTTTCACAGGAGTTGAGTTGGGGTTCTCAACAATATTATGTGCTTTTCGTCGATGCTCATGATATCGGCCCAGCTGCCAATATATTTTATGGCAAATATCGCACTCAAATGGCTGGTTAGTCGCATGTGTACGGAAATGTTCCGTCAGGAGCTGCTGGCAGGAAAACTGTACATTGCAAACGAAGCACTCGTATTCTGAAACAAAGATCATCAATTTAAACCAGTACGTTCAAAGGTTTTGAATTCAAGGCAAATAAACAGACGGGGCACTCACCACCATGAGTTTGAAGGTGAGTTACCAAATTTTGTCGTTGACCATATATTCTGTCACAGTGTGCACAACTGGAGACAAATAAACAACATCAAATCATTTTGAAAATTTCCTTCAAAAGAAAACTGCTGATGTTAACTTCAAAATAATTCAATAAAAACATTTTTGCACATTGACTGCTAAGGACATATAGACAGTGCTATTATGCCAAAACCTACAAAATAAGAATTTTTACATTTTTTTACCTTGCTAGCTGACATACCCTGCATTGCCCAGGTTTTTATTTACAATACAACATTAGAAAGGTACTTTATGCCATAGCTACCACCATAATTGCTATAAGGCAGCTATTAACAGATTCGTTGTAACATTTCCCCAGCAAACTCTCAGAAACGATTTTCACCTTTGATTATTATAACCCTAATTGCACTATTGGAATGAATTAAAATGAATTAATAGAGAATTTTAAAAGTTTTCACAAACGTTAAATTACCTTCAGTAGATTTTCTCACTGTTCATAATATTTTTACGAAAAACAAAGAGAGTGCATGCATAAATTTTGCTTAAGGGGTTAAAAATGAAGGATGGGGTAGTTTTACAATATCTCATATAGTAACTTTTCTAGTGTTTTGAAGGTCATATGTACATAATTTCATTTAGACTGGAACAAAACTTCAGATTTGCATATAAAAACAAATAAATATAACTTTCTTTACATAATTGAAAATAATAATTTGAGAAAGAGATGCCTACGTTATGTCCACTAAAAGACACTATTTCAGTGAAAACCCCACCAAATGAGTTTAGCCAAACTCAGAATTATCCCAGGACAAAGAGACAAACTTTAAAGAAACTGATTAGTTTTTGTATCATGAAAATAACCATATGAGATAAAAACATGTTATTTTGAAACCACAGACAGGATCTCCAATTTTATTTATAGGTGAAGTTATTATATTGCACTTTCAAGCAGGGTCATAAGTGGACAAGGGTATAACATTACTGAGAATTAAACTGAAGGCACAGGGTGTCTGTGTGATTCAGGGTGTTTTATTTATGTCCAGTACCAGCAAACTACTCAACCATACCGATGCATATCCTTAGAGGAATGCTTTTCTGCAAAATGAGCTTCAACCTCTGCACGCGGCTTGTGGCGCAAGTTCTCTCCACACAAGTCGCAAGAGTGGTCCGTCTGCTGGCGCACATGAGACCTTTGGTGTTGCACCAAGTATCCCGACGCAGTGAAGGTCCTTGGACAATTAGGGCAGCGAAAGGAACGTTGTTGAACATTTTGTCCAGCTGCTGGAAACTTTGGCACCTTTGCAGGTTTTGAACTACCATCAGACAAAGACTCGCCTGAAAAAATATAGTAGTTTGAATAATTTAACATTGGAATTAGTGAAGGTACAGTATCACATACTTTGGCATATATCTAACAATTACATAATATAAAATTGTAACTTCTATCCTACTATCACTTCATCCATCTCTTGAGAAACATGTAATTAAATAAATCATGAGGAATTCGGAAAAAGAAAAGAAAAAAGAGGATACATAAAAACTCAGATATTTTTAAATATTCTCAAGCTTGCACCATTTTTATAATTATGGTATGCTGTAGATAATTAATAGTAATTTATGTCGTTAGTACCGAAAGAAGGATACAATATGCAATATTATTGTATTATGTTTTCATTACAAATAATACAAGAGATACAATTTTACCACAACTAGTGTAATTTGTTCCTTAATAACAATAAGACATTCTCACACTGTACAAGGAACATTGACACTCAACTTCAGTATATTTCTAACAGTGGTTTCTGATAAGAATATTTTTTCATTACCTGCTGTTGAAGCATCGCTGTGCTTCTGTCGCTTATGTTGATATAGATGTCCATAATTGTTGAATCCTTCTCCACAAATTACACAAAGGTAAGCATTCTTTATGGGAGTAGGACGGTAGCGACAACCTCTTCTCACATGGCCCGCTAAGTACTCGGGACTCGTGTAGCACAAAGAGCAATTCGGACACCTGTACACAGTATCCACTGCAGAAGAAGAAAACGTAAGGAGAACAAATTTACAAATGCACATTACACACTACAAACATTCAATTCAACAATTTGTTTGTAATGGTCAATTGTGGAAAACTTAATATTCTTTAATTAGGTTATTTACTACTCAACCATAGGTAATAGCTTAATTTTTTTTTCTTCTTCTTCTTCTTCTTCTTTTTTTTTTTTTTTTTTTTTTTTTTTTTTTTTTTTTTTTTCATCTGAATATTACATGTAAGTAGCTTGTCTCTGGAAGGTGCTAGGCCACATTTTTCACAAAAATAAGATATACTTCTAATGTAGCTGAGTTATTGTACAATATTGAACCTAATTTGGTACAATTTGTACCCATAATTTCTTTTAGTAAAATGAAAGATAAAATCACATCTTTAAAATAAAAATTTTAATAATGAAAATCGGGGAATAATGGCTTATTCAGCTGCTTTGCAATCGGGTAGAACTTCTTGTCACACATGAACTGCCTCAAAATTAAAGTACAGTGAAACGTCTTAATCTTTTCTTCCCATTCATAATTCCCATGTAGTATTATTCAACTGTTTTCATATTTCCCTCCTTAACCAGGATCCTCTCAATCCAGGCAAGTTACAGGGTACATCAAGCTTTGGACCAAAGGCAATAACAAACAATAATGTATCAGTAAAAAATAAATAAAATGTATGTACATTTTTATTAAATAAATAAATAATAAATACATATGTATCCTTCATCCCATTGCAGAACTTGAAAATACAAATGTCATGTTCATATCATGATCATGTCACTCATTTCCCAGTTGCATTTCCCAATGCCCACCATAAAATACCGAAGTACAAAAACTAAATAAAAACACCTAAATACAAAAGTCACTACCCATTATTACTTCTACTCTACTATGGATTTAATAATAGAATAAGTATGCCTTCACTGAAATATTTTTGCTCTTTACATTGATACATGCTTTCTACAAGACGATTTTTCCCCTGAAATATTTCAGTCAAAAAATGCAATGCATTGATTACAGCACGAGGTACTGAGTTTGTTCCTTTCCCTTTGACTATTCATTTGTATTGTCGACACATCGCTCAGAAAGTCGACCCGTTTTTATTTATGGTGCATTGAAGCATCGATCAATACATTTGTTTTACTTCTTTCAATCTTAATATTTTTTTCTCTTATGCGTTTTGGAAGTTCACAGCACCAAACAATTTTTGTTTTGTTTTGAATTTTAGGCTTGTGAATTAGCTCAGTGACACGAGCTGTAATAATTATATTTTAACTCGTTGTTTTTTCATATTATCTTATTTTGTTTTTGAATTTTCACCGTAATATTGGCGGCACGGCACGGGGGGGAGATGGTATTCGTGTCATTTGTTCGCACAACGATCGTGTTTTGTATTGCTTAGTCTGTTTTGTTTTTTTCTCTCTGTCAAATTACCAAGGCTCCGCCCGGTGCCCCATTCGTTAATTCTTCTTTTATCTAATTAATCTTTATTTAACCCCCGGGCATGGGAACACCGACTCTTTTATATCAAAGTTTCTCTAATCTCGCCTTTCGAAAGCAAGCAAATAAGCATTCGATTTCACACAAACGCATTCGACTCCCTCGTCCAGTCATTTCTTTCACGCTCCATTCCGGCCGACCGTGTGAATATTTATCAGAGTCAGGGCTATCAACGACTAACACCCTGCAACTCGCGGCTAAATCAAACATATTCAAAGCCAATAAATCGAAGTAGGATGGCACAATTCGCTGCGCGTCGAAGGTGACAGTCCTGGCCCTACGACTCGTAACCCGGTTCGATGCCTTTCGGGGGCGGGAATAATGTTGGCACTGCCGGCCAAATTACTTCAAATTTGGCGCCTTGTTTTTAAAAGAGTGTTTTGATGTTCTTTGAAGGCGTTTCAGAGGAAAGCATTATACATTTCAAACTTGGCGCTTTGGAGAAGGTCTTAATTTTCCCCAAAAAGCCGCGCGAATTTCTTCTCTGTTGATCAAACATTCATTTCTTAGCACAAAGTTCCTTGAAGTCGATAGTCCACTGCTTTCTATTAATTCGGAGCGTCACTGAAAGATCGCACCAGCTCCTGGGCAGCCCCGCGTAAAATCGGTGATTCCTAATATCTCAGAGGCGCCAAGTTTGAAATGTATAATCCTTTCCTCAGAAACGCCTTCAAAGAACATCAAAACGCTCTGGAAAAAAAAAGACGCCAAATTTGAAGTAATTTGGCCGGCAATTGCCAACATGCGAGGTCATCTTATTTGCACATTAAGCCAAGTCGGTTATGGTCTTAAGTTTTTACATTGTCATTCCATGTCCTGAAACTCATAAATGTTGATGTAACAAGCTACGAAGATGGTAAAAATATTGCGTGTATCTGTAGAACGTAATCAGCGATCGTATTATTGACATCCATCGCAAATTTTATGGGCAATATACATAGATTTTTTAAATAGGCCGGTAAAGAGAATCTCAAATGAATTGCATCGTATGAAATGAAAGTTAGCATGAAATGAAGTGGGTTCGACGAGGCCGTGCGGAATCTCGGTTCGAAACATTTTTGCAAGAGACGGAAATGAAAATAATCACATTGATAGAGGTACGCATTCTAAATCCAACCACAGAAAAGGACTATAAAACATATTTTCTACGCAAAAATTCCCCAATCTTGGGAACTTGCCGCTGTTTCCTGTGTTACCTACTAAACGGAGGGACAGAAATGTACGAGCTCGCAGATCACAACTCTATTACACAAACAGTAAATGTTGCAATTTTTATTTTGTTATAGAATGTGAAAGAAAGTTACAGAATGTTACAGAAAAAGAAGCCACCGCCAGTGTGGGTGTGTTACCAGTGTGGGTCAGATCTGATGACACAGAAGGGAATGTTCTCAGGTGGCGTCTGATGACAGACTACGAAAAACTCAAATTCAACGCGCAAAACTTTCAGATAGGCCTAATAGGTCAAAATATGTCGCAGCATGGAAGAAGGACAAAAAAGAAAGAAACATTGATACGTGTGAAGATGATGAGGGTAGTGACAAAAACCATGATTATGATGATTTTAAGAAACAAGAAAATGATAGTTCAGCAAGTGTTAACATTCTAATCAACAAGGCAAGTCTAGTCTAGTAAGACAATTTGCAATTTTATTTTGCCTTAATTAAGAGTAAGTTGAAAACAATGAATCAATTCAAATCATGTGCAAATAATGAAATTTTTACCTAAACAAAATAAGTATATTCAAGTTGTGTTGTGAAACTTGCGTTCTTATCTAGTTAAGAATCTCGGGTAAAATTTTGGCCAATATGGGTGTTCTGTAATTGAACTATTCAATAAAGAAAAATATAATTAATTCATCCCTATTGCAACCAAATTTATTTGTACTTAGTCCAGGTATTACTCATTCATTTTACATTTGCAGATGGCAGAATTAGGAACTACTTTTGTTTTGCCAGAGCCTGAGGTAAAGCAAGAGGTCGAGCACACACAACAACCTGTGCCAACGTGAAAGAATTTCTGACCCACGCTGATATCAAATGGGACATCTGGGAAAAGATGCTCGTTTGTTTTTGTGATTTTTGTGGAAAAATTAAATCCCCTTTATTGTGCGAGAGTGTGACTTAGCAGTGAATTTATTATAAATAATGTGATGAACTATAGCTGCTTGGGAAAGACTAGGGGGTTATGAACACCACCAGAAAGACCTGTGAATGGAGCACCAGCATTAATTGGAAAAGGTTTAAGAACAGTTAATAAAGTAATAAAAGATGTACTACCAGCAGAACAGTAGTCAAAAAGTTGCACAAAAAAATAAAAACAGACAAATACAATTTCTGGTAATGTTTGGTGAAAGAAAATTATTTTAAGAATAATAAGTGGATGAGTAGGAAATTCCAACTCTTCAAAACCTTCACAATGCCATAAAAGAACACCTGAAAAATATTAAAGTCAATTGAATTTATATTCCAAAAATGCAAAAACAGATCTGTGTTATGTCTCTGACTGCTAGCTAGTAGTCAGGCCCCTGCAACATGATTAAGGAAATGTACAAGATAATATATTAAGAACATGTCCTTCACGAAAGTCACTATATTTTCTTTGTGCACACCTACTACAGAATGATTATGTACCAATGCCCGACGCTAAGCAAGTTCCTACCTCCTTCTCACCACTTAATTTGTATTTACTGTAGATGTGCATCTCAATCAGCCAACTGAGACCTCATGTAAACAGATCACAGTCCTCCATGTGCAAATGTAAAATGAATGAGGAATACTTGCCTCTGCCAAACTTAGCACGGGATCTGCAATTCTGAGCGTGTTGCTTCAAGAACTCTTCACTTGCGTAGCACATGGAGCAGTCCTTGCACCTGAATATCTTGTCCACAATATTTTGAGAACTAGCTGAGAAAAACAGCAGGGTCAAATTTTACTTATTATAATTATTAAAACATTTTACTTGAAATTAATACTTCAAGAAAAGCATTTCATTGAAAAAGTACAAACACAAACATGGGCTGAAGTTTACTTAATGCTCTTTTAGACATGGTGTGTTCTATTACACACTTTTGACATGGAACTTCAGTCAATTCCAAAGCTTATCAAATACAGGAGTTTTTCTGACTACTTTCTTTCATTCAGTATTCCCAATTGCTTCTAGTTCTTTTCTTCATGTTTGTTGTGTTTTCAGTTTCATTAGTCATGTGTCATGTGAGACCCCATGATATAAAAGGGACTGTTCTGGAAGTAATTTATTAGAACACCCATGGTTGTTCCAGTTATCATATATTTATGAAAGTATATGATAAGATAAATTATGAAAATAGTGATGCTACAGCAGCACATACTTTCCTGCGTTATTGCTAACTTTAGCATATTTTGAAAATTCTGAGTTCAACAAAAATGAGACCTGAACCATTCTTTAAGCATCCTTAGCTCGATCTGCGGAGAACATTTAAAGGAAAATATTTGGAGCCATTTTTGAGAAAAATAAATTATAAATTGCATTGTTTGAAAATAGTAAAGAGATGCTAAGCAGTTACATGGTTTATGTCAAGATATGTGCCCCAGATCATCTATAAGAAAGAATATTACACTATGAAAACCTTGTGGTGCAAATTTCACAATTTTTGGAAGAGAGATATCTTGGTGATGACAATTCAAGTTATTATAACACTGGCTGTGCCAAAATGAAAACATTTGTGCACACAATCAATGAATTACATATGGCCAAAAGTGCTTAATCAGTTGACACATGAAATAAAATCATGCAATAATATTACAATTTTTTTCTTCTCTGAAATGAAAATTAAAATATTGGTTATTTATCAATTTCTTTGTAAAGATTGCCAACTTATGTACATAGATTAGACAAAGTGAAATTTGAAGAAAAGAATTAACAAGCATAAAAACAACATTAAAGAACTTCCAAACAAACAAACAAAATTCATTAACGAAACATAGAATTGAAATTTACTGCAGATTTGATTTTTAAAATGTATGTATTTTAGATCACGGAAGTAGGATTTATCACAGAATGATTTCAGAGAATTTAGTAATACGTGAAGTTAAATGACACAATGAATACAAAAGTTCAAAGTAGACAAAATTCCTGTATTTGTGACAATGTGCTACATTAAGTAACAGATAAACATAGCAATTTTGGGACAAGGTATATAAATTTCCACCTTAGAAATGTTTTGTCCTTTCTTATTCAAATACCAAACATCTCCTAACATGCATCTGTTGCCAATTTGTGCCTTCCCCAATCATCTGCTCAGTATGGAAGTTGATAAGGATTTGTTTCCTTGTAAGATACAATAATTATACATAAATTAAAAATAGATTTAAAAAAAGGACAACATAATTTATTAAGGTGATCTCATTTGTGCCAGGTGCATATTTATTATAATATATTTCAATTTGTTTTACTACAATCTTAAAAATTTAATAAAATTTTATTTTAGTTTCTGTTTATATTCAAATTAGACTCCTAAAGAAGAGGAAAAGTGCTCCTCGAAACACTGAGTGAGAAAAAATATTCAAAATTTAACAGAACATTTCAACCTAAATTATTATGTTGAATTTTTTAAATTGTTTTTGTTTTTCAATAAACGACTGTCTAAAATAAAATATGGACAAAAATATTTAATAAAATCTTAGATAGCCTGAAGACAGTGGGCAATGCAATGTTCTCGCAGTATTTGTGAAGAATGTTTTTGTTAAAATATTTAACTTACTGTTATGTTACATGAGAGTTTTAATTGTTCTTCTCGAAGCAATGTGTGGGTTACTTTTAGAAAAACAATAGTACGCTTTTGTTGAGCAGCATTTTTGCTGCAGCAGGCCAGTAATTACAAAATAATTAACATCCTAGCATAAATGCACCAACTTTACTTAATGTCAATAGACTGTAATTAAAATGTCTATGCTGAGTATTTTTTGACTCATAATCAACAAGTATGTATCTATGTACATGCTCACTATCTTTACGAATGATACATCCATGTTTTTAAATTTTTTTTAATACTTATTTAGTGCAAAAAAACAGTAAAAACGGTATGTGACGTATGGGGGAGAAGATTAAGTAAAGTGTGTTAAAGTATATTTCGATGCCCATACATCTACACCAACTTTTTCATTATTACATGTCTTACAATGTAATATTCAAATCTCTTGTTACTCACGTAATTTACACAAAAGAAACAATGATAGAATACAGCAACAAAATTCTAAAAATCATTAATTATATTTTTCAACTCACATGCGTTCAAAAATCCAACAAACTGGCCGAGACACTCACCTCTTTTAGAAGCTAACCTCTGCCGTCTTCCATTTTTCAATTGAGTTTTCACAGGAATGCTTTCCTCCACAAAGTCCTGCACAGGAACCAACTATTTTACAAGATCCATTAAAAATTACGTCCCTAAATACAATATTATTGTTTGATAGATGATTCTGAGCCTGTCAACTGCTATGGTTATTAGTACACAAAGTAGATTTGTATGATTTTGCATATTTTTGCCCGTTGCTTCAGGGTGAAATTTCTTGACATTTGATTAGAATTCAATGCTAAGTTGATTAATTATTATTAGTGCATATTTGGCTGATTTTTCCTTTTGGTGCACATTTGTGTAATTAAAGGTACATATTTTGCATATTTCGTTAAAACAGAAACTTATCTCTAAAATAGTTCATGTTTTCATTGATTCTAAATTGCATTAATGAAGAATGTCAAGAAAAAACTTTTTTGTTCAGAATATGGAAGAAGATTTGCAGCCAAATGATCTATGCCATTGCAAATATGTACCTCTTTACTTTCATGGATGTGGAAAAATGCTTTTTGATGTTCAAGACCCTGTTGGCAGAAAATCACCATGCATTTACGTTTGACGACACTGTAAGGGATTTGTAACACACTGCAATGTAGCATTGAAAAAGTAAAAGTAAAGTGAAACTTGAAGGTGAAAATACATTCATGATAAGCTATTGTGAAATTAGAGCTATAAGAAATGAAATATAGTTCATTTTAATTACATATTAAAGTGCATATTTCAGTAGTTTTAGGATATAAATGTATTTTTAAAAGCAATAATTTCAAGATTTGGATTGTGCATTTCCTAGTCATTAGTAAGGTGTGCATTTTAATGAAATATCATATTTTTTCTTTTCACTTTAGAAGAATACTATTTAGTATAAAAATTCATTATTAGAAATTTATGACAAAACAAAATGACTTTTTTTTTTTTTGCATTTTTTTGCCAATTTCAACTAATAAGTAATTTTTTACCTTTTTACGTCATTTTTAATTAATTTTTCCCTGATTGTATCCATTTGAATATCATTTTAATGGTACTTGCCTTAAACAATATTTACAAGGTGTAACAAATGATCACCAAAGAAATGATGATTAGCATATTCGATTTCTTGGCTCATATATTGTAATGTCAGCCGTTATGAGTACTATGTAAATTAAGGTTCCTGTGACGCCTATCGATGCCAATGTCAGTTTGGCTGATTTCGCGACAAATAAAGGCAGAGATTATCTTTTAAAGAACAGTCCAAACCAACAAGTTGCAGGCTGAGTTCACTTGAACAAATGGAAGAAGCCTCGATTACATCAGTAACATACTCAACAGCTTAAGTTGTTCATTTGAAGTGGTTTTCATCAAATTTTTTTACGTCAGTTTTTTCTGTTGTTAGGGGAATTTTTGATGCGTTTTAAGAGCATTTTATTGATCATTTTTGGCAATGTTTTGTGTCATCAAAATTTGTCCCCAAATCATTAGTGTCAATAGTGTAAAGGCTGCTTTATCGGGGAGTGGGGGGGGGGGAGAGGTACAGAGATTTCTTCCCTGGTGGATGGTAAGATCCAGCTGAAATGGTGCCATGGGTGTGAGTGTGGGTGGGTATGATTACAATGGCAGACCCCAAAATAGATTGTAATATAAATGAAGGAAAATTTTATAACTTTTAAGAACTAATCTTACATGTATTTAGCAGTATTATAAAACCATTTTCTGCAAGTTTCAGTTAAAATATATTCAGTTTTTGAGATATTGCAAGGTCTCACACACTTCATTATTTCCTGTCCTTGCAGGGACACACGGGCACATCCTGTGTTCAAAGAACTAGTTCAGAATTCAATACCTTGTTGCTATTACAAAACCTACATCAACTAATACTAAACAAGATTTCAGTGTGCTTTAGGGTATACCAGTCTGTAAGAATGCCAGAAATGTCTCAAAGTGATTACACCTGCCAACAGTCTTGAATTGTGTTGTAAGCATCTAATAAGTTTTAAAAGATTAAACTACCACTTAGGATCAGGAAAGACTAATAAAAAAGTTCTTTAAACAATGAAACTCCCTACTGAAACAAAAAGGACGAAAAAATTATGCTGGGGTATGTTGTCCTCCCCTACCCCTTGGTAGGCGACTGTTAAAAATGTTATTTTGATAACAGGTACCAGTAAGACATCATGCTGCACTCCTACCTCAGAGTAATCAGTGGGATGGCCAGGAACAACCACCATAGCGGCATGTGGTAAAATCTCCTCCTATTGGCATACAAATAATAAATTAGCACAATCTCATCCTCATGTACAGAGGAGCATCAATAATTTGAATTTCAAAAACTGCGACTGTCAATACTCCAAATATTGCATATTTATTTTTATTTCTACCCATTTATATGGCTAAAATTGCATCAAATGCTTTTAAAACAGGTTGGTTAAAAAACATGAACTTTTTGAAAATCCCAACTACTTATGGTCCCGATCAGTTCCAATTTTGAATGATCTACAGTACTTTTTTTTTTTTTTTCTTTCTTCCCTCCCCTCGTAAAGTGTGTTGAATATTCAATCCTATAAACCCTGGCACTTCAATGTTAATCCTATAAACCCTGGCATTTAGGTCACTTTTGATACTGTAGACATTGATCGGTTTTCATTTTAAGATTTAAAAACAAATAAACTCTAAAATGGAATGAGATTTAATAAAGATACCACTTGCACAATTTGTATTTAGGCTTAATTTAAATTATTCTTTTTAATATTAAGTATTTATAATTTAAAAAGTTGTTCTCGAAGAAAAACATCAGTATCTCAAAACTTTGAAAAAGGCACAGAATATGTCCCTTCTATTGTGTCTGTTCAATTCTCCCAACTCGTACAATGTGTAGCGCTCATTATGCCAACCACAGAGCACTTGAGCAGACAAGCACAGGGTGAGGCATTCGCAAGCATTTCCAGAAGCTGGATGGAAAGAGCAGTTGCACAGTGAGCTTGAAGCTCACATCCCCTTCAGACAGTAAACATGTGTACGAGTTGTATCAAGTGCACCTTTGTGGCTTGCATTTTTAGTGGAAAATATTAACACTTGGCCTCACCCATACCCAGGATTGGTTCTAGCTTCTTTGAAATTCATAAGTGTACATTAGTGTTTATTATCCGAGTAGAAAAAAAATTAAATATTGATCATAGCAGTGTATTTTTAAACTGTATAAACTTAAGATTTAGTGTTCAGTAATGAAAGACAGAATATCAAGTAAATAAAACTTTACAAAGCAAACTTTACATGACTAATAAGTATTTCAAACACATACAAGTATAAGCATATAATGTGGCATAAATCTGAATTTTACAAGTATATCTCATGCAAATATTCCAATATATAGTGAAGGTATCACCTATAATACTGCCCTGCCAATACCATGTTATACACTTCCATTACCCATTTTTCAATAAATTATTTTATTCTTTTGTCTGTTTTTGTTTTTTCTTGTTTTGGTAAACCAGACCCTGATAATCATAAGTCTCTTGTAGCTTAAAATCAAACATGAGAAGCTGTAATACTTCACCTCTGAATTATGGCCTTCTTCTATATCAACAATTTCAGAAGAGAAACCAGGCATGGTCGTTTCCTCCTGAAAATGATTGTTATAATAAATAAATAAAAATGATTGTAATTGTAAGTCTTCATGAGCAATATATTATATATTTACTGAAACATTTCCAACTACAATTTGCTCCTATATAGGGGGCATCAGTATATAGACCACACAAATGATATTTGACACAATAATTTGAAGGAAAAAAAAGATTGTATGTAAGCCCCACTGAATAATTTTATGTTGCTCAGTTAACTTTATAATATAAACATGTGTTTACTTCAAAAATTGGCAAATCCTTAAAGGGGAGTGCTCTGCCAAATTTGATTGCTGTTTCTGCGATCCACTAGAGCGTGATACTTTCGATAAGGCTATTAACCAGCCATTCAAAGTGGATGAGTGTGGTTTTCGGCATTAAATTGTTTTTCTTTCAATGATTTCTTTTGAAAGAAAAATTCTGGTGAAGCTTAATCACCTCCTGGTTAAGAATATAGGAATCCAGCTTATTCTATAATGCATGAATTAACAATAATTTTGCAGGCCAAAATTAAGCAGGAGTCTAAAACCTAGTTTTATTTTACTGCATTCAAATCTGCAAGCCTTGTATCCATTCAGGTTTCTTTTCCACGTGAACTCAAATTCTTATTGTATAGACCTGTCTCATTTTGTACCATGCTTTTAAGTGTCTAAAACATTGTACACTATAACAAGATGAATTATCTTAAATATTATAATAAAAGTAATACTAAAATTCTGAAAGGTTATAATAAATTATTACAAAGTCTAAATGACCAAAAAGAATTCACTTTTTTGCTTCTGTTCAGCAAAAATCCACCGAACTTTGACCAGCATTTATGCACAAGTGTTCATCCATCTATATCATCTTATATTCCAATAAATGAAATGTAAAGAAAATTAGAAAGATGATGTTTTTCTTATTTTTATGTAGAAATTTATTTGAAGTCTTTTTTCTATGTTATCTACATACCCCGAATTAACTTTTCCCCACATTTAATGTTAATAATCTGAAAGCCCTGAAGATGCCTATATGTAATTAATGCACTTATATTTTCAATATAACGTCATGAGCTTTGACACAACCTGTATGGTTTTTTTTTAAGTATTTTGAATATCCCCTCCCCCCACCATAATGCATCTGTAACACGTGTTTGACACCCCCTCCACCCCGAAATTATGAAGTAATGCTTGCAATCAAGACACACACACACACACACACACACACACACACACACACACACACACAATTTACAATAAGTTTTCAAAAATAATAAAGAAGAAACAATTAGTTGGATTAATTTGTTTGTGTTATATATTCAAATTTATGAAAATTAAAGCCAGAATTTGTGGTTGATTCCTATAATAAAAATCAAACATTTTTAACAATAAACCAATAATTCCTGGTTAATTTTAACTTCAAAGAATTCTCCAAGCCCCCACTTAGTGTAAACCCCAAATGTGTTAAAAAATTGTCATCACCTATTCCAAATAAAATTCTGCAGACATACACATTTCTTTTGATGACTTCCCAAAACATACATGTCAGAGATATCCTTGATTTTTCCTACAATAAATTTCCCTTGGCTTAAAAGCACATTTAGTAAATCGTCTTACCTGATTTGCATCCTCATCAACTCCTCCGCCAGACGAATCATAGGTCAAGGACGATGATCCTCCCAAGATCTCATCATCTCTCTGAAACAAATTATCGTGAGGGAGGTGGTGGTGATTATCCCCCACTGGATGGCGAGAACCACAAATGACCCAATATTCGCTTTCCCCTCAACCAGGTATCTCCCATCAGCAGGGCAAGCTCTAAGCTCCTCACTATACCAAGTGTGCAACATACATACGAGTACAATAACTAAATAATAAATAAGAGTTTGTGTGTTGAAAATTTGCCTTTTTCCAGTGAAAGATTACAATACTTTCTCTTCTAATGTTAGTAAACGCAAGAAAGTAAAATGAACTTCATTTACTTTGACCATCTAAAGTCAAACTTTATAAAACTGATAAGTGTCATAATAAGAGCTATTACAACACAAGTGTCGTAATAATTCATGGCCCACTATTAACATCAATGATCACTTTCATAACGTAAGCAATACTAGAACTAATACATGGCCTCCCATTAACTACTATCAACATCCTGACACGAGATCAGTTTTATTCCTAATTTGTTACATGAAGGTTGCAATTCATTACACAATGTATTTTTGTCATAATTCTTGGAAAATCAAGTGTATGTTTCAACAGATGCATAAAGTAAATATGTGAACACCTTTAGCACAGGACATTGTGGATGATTTTCTTTCAGTTTACAGCTTATTATTTGAATGTAAAACATTTTTTCCCGAAATAACCTACATTCATCAATCTAGTGTTGACCAAAATTTAATTTTCAAAAACGTTTAATGATTAATAACTTATATATAACCTATGTAATAATAGCATGGATTGTATGCAACTCTTTATCTGAACCAAGTTGAAAAATTGCTTCGTTTAATTTACAAAACAATGACCTTTGTATTGTAATTGAGAACAAACTTTTCTCAAAATACGACTCTCGTACACCAGTTGTACATATGTGTACTTTCTCAAATGGGAGAAAATCAACTTGCCCCCTCTACGAATTCAAATTTTTCTTTCTTTCTCTCAAATGTAATAAATTCACCTACTGTAGTATACTTTGTTGTTGTTTTTTAAGTGGTTTATGACATTAGGTCATTGTTACACCTCCTGCCTTATAAAATGAGTCGTTTGACCAGTAGTAAGCACACTTCTGGGGCCCTGAGGCCTGTTGAGAAGAACAATCGCGAATTAATTAAAATGATTTATTTACCAAGGCAGGAGGTGTAATGACGACCTAATGTCATTGGCCACTTTAAAAAAAACACATAAGATGCCTTGCTATATTTATTTGATAAATAACTTACTGGCTCTTCCTTAATATTCACTTCCAATGGGGGCTGCAACTCCTCTTCATTATTTTCTTCTTGCTCCTAAAAGAAAAATGAATCTTCATTTCACAGTTGCAATTATGCTCCAACAACAAAATCTCGACACCAAAAAGGCATATACTTTATTTTTGTAAATTAATCCGAAGCTAAAAATCTTTGTAACACTAATCCAAAGCTCATGAAACGCATTAAAAATACAGTTAAACTAACTAAGCGAACTTTTAGCAAGATAATAAAACTGAGAACTCCATTTACCTCTTTTATATCCACTTCTTCATGGAGGGTTGACGAATCCACAGAATCGCCTTCCTGCACCAGCAAACATTTGTATTTTTATTTCTTTTAAAATTATTTTCATAAAATAAACAAACGAGGGCCACAACTACAACCTGTCATATGGTTTGAGACCATATTTTCATTAGTTAAGCGATCCACACCCGACTTCCTCGTATTGCTAACCTCGTCACTTTGCCCGGCAGCCCTGAAGGGGGAGGGGGGAGGTAGAGGTGGGTGATGAAACTAAGTGTAGTGTAACTTGCGCAACTTTTCTTGAATGATGAATTGAAGAACTGCAGGTAAAGTGGGGGTATTAGTTACAAAATCGGCCACTACACTTCATGAAACAATGCCAATCTCTGAAGAATCGAACATGCCTGTGCAACTTTCTCAATAAATTGCACTAACTTTCTCTGGAGTTCGAGATGTCTCCTGTGATAGATGTTTATCTGCTATGGTCATTTCTTTAGATTTTTTGGAGAAAATAACCGACAGATGTTCTCGTCTTCAAACAAAAATTGTTTCTATTTCGCGCCAGTGAAGATGTGTTTGGAATGTTGTCATCGGTGCTCGCTTCAAGCTTTTTACCCTCAAGTGTTTATTGAGCCCGAGATGAGAGAAGGATTATCAAAAGTACTATAAAAAGTGTTGCTTTGATGTGCCAAAAACATCCAGGAACAGGGGGTGGCCACATCTTAAAATATCCATCACCAATGTTTGCACAGATAGTATCATCAAATTTATCTGAGAATTTTACAATTATAGGTGATATTATTTTACTCCCACTTGCATGCATATTTGTGACTCGTGAGTTTGTTACAAGTTTATTTTGTTATCAATCACACCTTTAAATCAGCATACTGAAAACTTATATCTTGGCATTTGCCAATAATAATAATAATAATAATAATAATAATAATAATAATAATAATAATAATAATAATAATAATCCAGAGTCACTTTATTTTTAAGCATTAAATAAAAATAACAAATAAAATGCTACCATGGATTTTACTTATTTAATTGAAATATAATGGGCAAAGGTCCATTGTGAGAAAATTTTAACAAAAAAGATTAATAGATTAAATGGATTAAATCAACTCCTTTAAACTCCACATATTTTTTCTAGTCTACAAAGAATTCAGACTACCTCTTTCACCTGAAATTCTTCTTCATATGGCGTAATGGTGACTTCCACAGGAACAGGCATAATTTCCTCCTTAACATAAATAAAAATATGATAGGAGTAGTTTCTATTACATCATTTATTTGTTTTTATTTATGAATATCATCAAAGAAATAGTAAACATTGTACCCAATGTGGATCCATATGGGTGTGAGGAGGGTACAATCAGCACAAGTTTTCTTAAACTTTGTGATTCCTTCCCCTCTCTTTTACTACATTCACCTTAGTAAAAGCAAGGTATAATTCAATGATTTTCATGAATTAATAAATTAATATAATTAATAATATACAAGAGCATTCATTTAACCAAAAAAACATTATTCAATTTCTGGCAAAGTACAAAAAAAAATATTGTCTTTCTTGCATCAATATTTGTAGTTAATTACAATATCTATTACATTTTTATGTCAAATGAAGACCAATGTACCTTCTTAACAGTAAAGTATTAACATTTATTATACTGAGAATTAAAACATAGCACATAATTCAAGAGATTATGTCATCATGTTAACTCATAATTATCAAAACTGAGTTAACTGTTCCAGCAACTTTACAGTTCTAAGTCTGCAAACCCAATGGAGTTTCAATATTCTATTTGAGCAAGAACTGGTCCAAACCTGAGATTAACAAACACTACCACCAATGTTGCTACAGGCTGCTGTAAACAGGATGCATAGTTGGATACTCCTGGCAAAGTTTTAGTAACCATTATGATCTTTAATTTCCCAAAGCTTAATGGGACTATCAGAATTAATTGTGATGAGCCCCCCCTCGTAAGCTGAATAACCCAACATACCTTCCAGGGAGCTGTGTTACTTTGGAGTACTGCAAAAAATGAAGTATTGCAACTGAAGAGAGGAGAAGCTTGCCAAGTAAAAGATCACTCGATATTTTCAACTATCGGTTGGACACTTGTGTTTGAGGCAAAAGCAATAGGAGTTGGAAGGACAGAAAATATTTTAAATTCTTAGCTTTACAAAAATCACTTCTACCAACATCAAATCAAAAAGCCTCAGTTCCACAAATTCACTTTACACTACAGGCTTGTAAGTAAATGGTCTCGTAAGTTACTTTGGAGACATTTAGTATGAAAGAAAGGGAATAGAGAGGCGATGCTACCAAGGATATTATTTATCAATGACAACTCTGTCCAGTCTGAAGAATTTATGGATGCAGATGACAAGTTGAAATCTAATAAAATCCAATCTAGCTAGGCCATCATCAGGGCTCGGGTTTTGATGAGCTAAAAATTCTCTAAAAATGACCTATAAAATGATGTAAAAATAAGGTGATACAAAAATAACTTTGTTCAATGTGTCATTGTAAAATCATGAAACATTCACTAACAAAACTACAAAAATTAAACAAAATGCGTAAAAACGACACAAAGGTCCAAAACGTAACCTAAATATTTTCGAATGCCAAAAATCATTCAATAACTGTATATTTCTATCATATATATGTCACGTTAACATTCATTTACAAGTCAGCTATGACTAGAATGCCCCAATGAAAAGATGACATGTCATCAGAATCCGAGCCCTGGTCATCATAAAAAGGCAAAAGAAAAAGGTAAGGGTAAAGGTAATAGGATTTCAAAACAGATGGAAACACAAGTGATAAGGAAGAAAGTACAAAAACAACGAGAGTGCTCCAACACTTCATGAAGCATTGAAAGTTGTCAAGACCACACTAAGATATTTGCAGTGTGGACAACTTAGAATAAAGTATGAAGAAACCACAAAGATTAGACGTTGAGAAAACACTGGGTATGGACAACTCACTGAACCTCTATAACAACAAAATCAATCATGGTTGAAAAACTACTATATTTTGATACTACTTCTACACTCAGAAAGGTGGATACCAGATAGAATAAAATTGTATTGTACCTGAGATTCATCATGGTCTTCAGAATAATTCTTTGACTCTATTTCATCTGGATCATCTGCATCTTCCTGAAATGGTAAAACCATTTTAATTCATTTTAATTTTATTATAAAATGCACTCAATGACTTTACCACACATTTATTGAGAAATATTACACTTCATACATAAATAGATTTATAATGTCAGCATTACTCTTTGTCAAACACAACTGTTCTATATTGTAAACTGATAGATTATGACAAGTTTTAAACTAAATAAAATGACAACTTTAGTTAACAAGTTTGTATCTAGTGTAAGTCATGGAATTTATGGTTTGCAAATCCAATTTATTTTTATCAGAAGATTAAATTTGTGAAGAGTTCCAATTATAAGTGAAGGTTCATAAGGAACTAAGTTTCTAGCAAACAAAGTAAAAAGAATACAGAACCAGTGATGGAGGTAGACCCAACACTCTCTCTTGAAATTTTTGCAACTAATACAGCTTCCTCTGGCCCACTGACTCTTTGGCAAATTAGTGCTCAGGGCCCTTATATCAATTTAAAATTATCAGCCCAAAAATCATGGTTTTGGCACTTCGATCCTTATGACCAATCCTTATCCTAAACGCTTCAGTTATCTGTATTACATTACATTCTATAAGATTAGAATTTTGTTAATGGTTTATTGCATCATTATTACAGGTTGTAGTTAGGAAATGCAGATGATCCCTAAAGAAGCCATTGATTAATTTAGAAACTCCTGTTTCGACATTAGGTTTTGTGTAACAGAGGTGGTTTATTTATGTTGTGCCATTAACCACAAACTGAGATACTACTAGGACCAGGAAAGGCAAATAGAAATTCATTCAAACCATTCCAAGTCGAGGGAGATACAATCTTTATTGCTAATTTCCAATGCTTAAAATTTTGCAGAGCATACTGTGTGTACACCAATAATCTTTAGAGTTTTTTGTGAGAATTTTCGAAGCATAACACATTTCTGACTTTTGATTTACACAATCTTTATAGTTGTTCCATTTTTAATTATTTTGTAAGAATATCCCAAGAAATGATGTTTCTTGAACTGGACTAATATTTTTACAAACGAGCTTCTAGCTTACCATCAAGCTTGTTGAAGTTATGTAGTTTATTACGTGAATTGTGAACAGTTAAAATTGCTGTTTTCTTGGTGTTTACAAGTGTGAAGATTGCCGTGTCATTTGAATTATTTTTTTTATGAAACCATGTTGCGGGTCAGTTATAATTTTGTTCATATTCAGGAAATTAACCACTCACAAAATATTTTTTTCCTGATTTTTTGGGGGGAGACAGAGTAATGAGACGAGTCATTAGTTTTTCATTTCATTGTACCCCTTTTTGAACAATATTTTTATTATTGCTGTTTTTTAATGTCAAGAAAGATTCCTTATGAAAGTGAATAGTTGCTAAGTGAATAGTGTAAAAATTTTTAAGTGTTATCTAGTCCTTCTGAAGATTAGTTTGATAGCATATTTATTACTTGGGAAATCTCATCCTACGTAGTTACATAAATGAACATGTTGGAAGATATAGATTGCATTACATGTTGTTTAAGAGTTGGAATAGTTTCCCTTACGACTGGTGAGAAGTTTTGTTGCATTTAAAGAATGGTTGTAAAAAATGTTGGCAATTTTTTTAGATGTTACCATTTGTTTATTGTTTCAAATATTTTTTCAAGTTATCTTTTCTTAATAACAATCCATATAGCCATCAATTTGTTGTTTGATTCAGTAATGTAATGAGCAGTTGACAGTTTTTGAAGCTTATTCTTTTAATGAGAATTGCCCTGTATTTTTATAGCGCAAGAAAGCAGGGCTTTTCAAGAACTGTTTTGAGAGAACACTTAGAATTTCTCTAGCAAGACTTATGACCCTCATTATCCAGTTCCTGGATTTACAACTTGAAATCAGGAAGAATTCATTGAAGAGGAAGGCTAATATGTTAGAAAATACTGTGAAGATATCATCTACATTTGTCTCTTTCATGACTTCAGGCCATTATCCTTCTGACAGATGATCTACAAACCTCATTCTTTTTATAGCAGAAGTTTCTACTAGTAGAGTATGTTTCATTTTCATTTGGCTATGTTTTCGACACAATTAGTTGGAGTAATTATGCACAGCACTCAAGCCTCTTTCAAAGACAGATGTTCTACATGTGTTTGGCTTTATCTAGAATTATTTGATGTACAGTTGTTCTTGACACAGGGGATACTCTAGTGGGTTCAATTACTGTTATATCAACGCTACATGAGTTAATAAGATGGAGAAAATTATTTTGCACATTGAAACTGACAAAAATCGATAATAACCTTCACATCACACACAGTATAATAGAGAAATTCTTTTGTTTCCTCAGTTGAATTCAATCCTTTAAATAGACTTAAAAACAAACAAAAAAACTTGCAAATGTTCTTTCACATCATGGAATTATATTGCGAGGGAAATTCCCTGGAAAGAATCCACACTTTCGTAATCCAATAACAGCGTGAGAAACATTAGGAACAATGACAATCTTGTGTTTTACAAAACCACAGTTTAAATATGTACAAATCCTCCACTGCAAGATATCCACGATGCTGTGCATTTCATGCGTGACCTTCAAGAGGTGTGACGGTAATGTGTGGCTGCATGTGAAAGGTGCATATTATGTGCTGTGCTTTGGGAAAAAACTATTTTTTTTTCTTGGGTGTCTTGTACTAAATGAAGTTTTATATATAAATTTTAAGTTTATTTGAACTAAAATTAAATAATTCTATGGTGCCTAAAAGAGCTCATTTCAACATAAGGCCTATTTGTCCCTATTTTACTTCCAAAAACCTAATATGATACTAATTTGTATAATTTCTTTTCTCTGCGGCTTATTTTAACTTTTTTCTTCTGTGTCGGCATAACAGACAAGGATGATATTAATTTAAAGTTATTTTAATCTGTAAGATTGTGAGAAATGAATATACCAAACAAGAATCTTGAGATTAAAATCTCCATGCAACTACTTCCTGACTTCCTAGAAAAGCCTGCCTCCAATTTTGAGATTGAATTCTTCGCCTCTGCTTCTGAGCGATTGAATTTCCATGAAAGAAAAGTGATCTTGACTGCTAAGAGACGTCCGTTTTCTCTTGAAAACTTGGAGAAAAGATTAGTAATTTATGTGAGGCAAAATACAGTATGAATAATTCTAATAAAAAAACAATTAAACTTGTTTATAAATAGTATTATTGCAAAATATACAATACTCATTGTACATAACATTGATTTATGTCTATCTTTGAGATATATGTATAAAATAAATAAACACATGTTTTTGTTTGTAAGTTTTCTATTTTATTTGTGCCTATTCTACCATTTAAAAAACCTAACTGAGATGATGAAAGAACCTATATGAGGCATCTAAAATGCATATTTTAAAATCTAAAAATCCATGATCTAGCGATAAAGACATGGAAAGTATTTCAACTTAAACTGCATTAAGGAAGGCTGAACAAAAGACAAAACCATAACAATTTAAAAATTGTGTTCATTGTGACCTACTATCAATATACTCCCCAGTAATTAAGAATTAACACATTCAGGTCTTAGCCTCGGCTCAAATTTTTTCCACCATTCTGTAAGGTTTTGTCTTACAGAAACAATCTTGTACTTTTATATCAAGTTCCAACTTTTATGTTTACATTAACATTTTTTTTTAATATAAAAAACACAAGAAATGGAGTTCAAGAAAATGTTTAACATGTTTATTTTAATTAAATTCTTACAAATTTTGTTAACATTAGAACATTACAAATAACATTATATCAGTGTGCTTTGGTGTGGTAATTTTGAAGAGGGCTCCTTAGACATCAACTCAGAGGGCATGTACGTCCATTTATTGCAATGCAATTTAGTACCACTTAAAAGGCAGCAAATGAAACGTACAAGTGTTTTAGGTACTTTATTGATGTAGTAACCTCCATGAAGAGTCAGCGAATTATAAAATAGCATGATATAAGTAGATATGCTGTATGGATCATGCACCTGTAGATTCTATGGGCATCGTAATTTAGGGCACCTTTTGGCACCCGTAGGCCATATGGGCAGTGACCTGAATGTGTTAAGGTCAAGAAAACAAGCATGTGCCTAATATTTAACATCTCTGATAAATTTCAAGTCAGTCTGGGGGAGCAATCAGAAAAATAAATAAATAAATAAATAAATAAATAATTTTATTATTGTTAAAAAATGGGTTTGTTTATTAAAATATTTGAACTCATAAAGAGATTAATTCAAATATATAAATAAATACCTACCTCATCTACACGCATTTCCAACTCTAAAGGCAATGAACGATTCACCTGAAAGAAAAAACACACAAGTTAGATATGCAAAACGATTAACACACATCATATAACGTCCCCTTAGAGTGAAAAACATACAAGACAAAAGTTATAGAAAACTATTTTATTGAAGTGTATATTCAATGCAAAAAGTTAGTAGAACTGGATAAAAAATAAAACCACACAAGTACTGCCAACATTGCAAAGAAAATGTTAGATCTAATTATTATTTTCATTTAATTTCAATTTTATAAAACAACAATTGTTTTATGTTCAAATCCACTAAAAATCATAGATAAACGCTTTCAAAATGGAACTCCCTTGAAAGCAACAAAAAGAAACAGCTTTTTGTGCGTACTGGAAAGTTAGAGATTTTTAACTTGCATTGTTTTCTACACGATTTACACGACACAATTTGGCGAGTATACTTTCAGGGGCAACATTTCCTTGAATTTTCCAGGTTTCCCAGAGCCCTGTTTCCTGATAAGATTCTGAAGTGTTTCACACTATTTACAGAAAATATTAAATAAAAGCAAGGTATGCATACCTGATACTAATTTGATACCTCTCAAATTGTGCTGTGAAAAAGGCAAAAAGTAACAAAATTTGGTAAATAGAAAAGCGCTAGAAAACAACCTCATATTGTAGTGATGATTCCTTGATTATAGATCATAGGAATTTTATACAATTTCATTGGGGTAACTACAGTTTTAATTATTTCAATCACCGATTTAAATCAAAACATTTTTTTAAACGAATTGTTAAAATAATTATTTATTTTGTTAAGTTAATTTCGTTATTATTCAATATTTAATAATACTATAAAAGATTATATTAACTCCAAATGAACAAGATTTAACAAGATGAATATAATGATAAACATTTACCGAATATTCTGAGGATCCATATGTTTGTTTAAAGACAAGTTTGGTAGCCTTTTCAATTCTCAAACAATTCCAAACAACCAAATGCACTAATCTGAACTCCAACACACATTATGTACTGGCTGAGGACGCAACCATCATTAGATACTGTCTAAATATCGTTCTCTCCATTTTGAATTCATTTTATCTTGGATGGCTTTCTATCACTATACAGCAGGAAAGTTTCCATAATTTTTATTTTAGACAGGTTATCAGTGAATGGGGATGCTATCAATTTTCATGTAAGGATTATTGCCAACATTTTTAGCCCAATACCACCATACTTCTCTTTCTACTAATTAAAATCTTCTCAAACCTAAGTGATGGTTTAGTCTCTTCAAAATATTTGGGTCAGATTTCTCCCAACTATTACTCATTTTGCTTAAAAATCGGTATGAATTAGAAGTTCAAGCCATGCAAAGCAATTATTTCAAAAATAACTCCACAAACTTGTATATTCTTAAAAGATGTTATATAGTATGATGTCGTCGGCTTCCACAGCCAGAGTCATGATCTGTGCCACCACATGACGCTACGTCAAAGGCCAAGGTGCCAATGTTTCAACCATCATATCGTAGTCTTCTTCAGACCTGTTGTGCTACTAGAACCTTGAAAAAGACCACAACTACATGTTTGAAACATTAGCACCTTAGCTTTCAACACAGTGTCGTCTGGACAGCCCAGATCATGTTATATAACAATAAAAAAAAGACCACTCGCTTAAAATACAAAACAACAATTAAACCTAATTAAGATTATAAACATACTGGATCAGTTGGCACCATTATTACCTCCTTGAATAATTCACTCTAACAACAACAGAATTATACCATACGTAGCGATAGACCAATAAAATGTCTAAAATCTCATTAGAAGTTGTTTTGTATTAAATAATTTAGTAATTTTATAAAAAATATAAATGAGATATCTTAATTATTCTGGCAATTTACTTTGACTATGGTAACCCCATTTAAATGCAAATCTATAAGAAAAAACCCAGTATTTGTTTATAATTCTCTTTTTATCTCGGATTATAATAATATAATTATATTATATATATAATATAATATATATATAATATATTATGTATATATAGTTCATATATAGTAATATATATGTATATATAGTAATATATATGTATATATATGTCTTATATAATATGATAATATGTAATATATATTGTATATATATAGTATAATATTATGTATATATATTATATATATATATTATATATAATATATATTAATATTATATATATATATATATATATATACAACCTGAATAAAAACTAACTAATCCCTACTATAAAGATAAAACAACCTAGTGTCGAACCAGGTCAAGAAAATAAAAATATCCAAAATTTAACTTGTACAATGTTTTATACGGAATAATATTTACTTTTATAATTGTCTTAAACATTTCCCTAGCATCTACAGATTTTTGTTGTAAATTCCCTAACTTTTCTGTATAAATGAATTTTCTGGTTTTCCAGAAAGCAACCATGATGAATGATGCACACAAAACGATGAAATATAGAAATTTACTTAAGTATGTAATTATTGATTGCTCCAAAATGTTTGAGCCTCTCCAATGTTAATATACTGAATAAAACATAGTAAAACTTGTGAATACATAATAATAAATATTGACAAAAAGGTCTGTGTCTTTCTTTGGTACCAGGCAGATCTTGTTCTTTGGGATCACTCCAGGACATTTTTTTTTGTTGTTGGTTTTTTTTTTACCATCATGTCATGAGGCCATTAGGAACAAGTCCAAAAATAATGAATGTAGCACAAACAGGAACTGTCAAGAGATTCTTGCAGAAAAATAGTCCAAAAAGGTCAAGCACAAAAGTAAAAGAAAAAAGGGAGACAAGCAGGCACAAAAGAGAATCAAGAAAGAAACACAGAAATAAGAAAAGAAAGGAAGGACGGAATGAAAGAAACAAAGAATTCAAGAAAGAACATATAAAGAATAGAAGAAAAATACTAAGAAAGAAAGAAAGAAAGAATAGTCAGTTTGAAAAATAAAACAATTGAATCGCATTCTATGAGCAGAACAAAAATCATATTAGTTTTTAAACATCTTACTCACATGCATGTACCGTTGACCATCCATTGTTATTATTACCCTTCAAAAAATATGATTCAACTACAGACTACCTTGATGCTCAGCAAATAAAAAGTTCCACCATAAAATTAATATGATTCAAAATTTGAAAATTTGTTCAAAAATTTGTTTACACAATAAACAACTCGAAGAAATTGACAATATTTTATAAAATAACAATCCTATATAAAATACAATACACAGAGGTGGGGTAGTTTTAACAAAATTTGGAATGGAACTAACTGATAATTAATAATAAAAACAATGTTATTACATTTCATGGCATACACTAAAACAACTTCATAATAAATTCAAAAATGGATATTAATTTCTAAATATCGCACACACACTTTATCATAAAACAGATTTGTATAATAATATAACAACAATTTACCAAATGATGCAGAAAACAGAAGCATGAAAAATTAGAGCTTTACTATCAGAAATGTAGCAAACCACAGACAAAACATATGATTGCAAACTATACACTGAGAAATAAAGTAAATTTTGCTATGCAAACAAAAATATATATTTTATTGCCTTTGTACAACTCGCTGACATCTTAACATAACTCAATTTTACTGCCATCAATAGAACAGATAGTTTAAACAGTCAAATACATTCAAATGATTGTCACTCATAATATTAATAATTTAACATTCTAGTAACCTATTTTTTATATAATATTGGAATATGACATTTCCATGTAATTTATAAGCATCGTTAGGTATGAACAAAAAATGAATAAAATTATGACAGAAAATTAAAATAATTTTGATGATATTGTTTAGAACGGAAGTATTAAAAATAAAATTACGGAATAAATCAAGTAAGTAAAAAATTGTGAATCAAGTAAAAAATGCTTACACATAAATGGGAGAGAACTTACATGTTAAGATCGATCAAAAAAATTAAAAAGATAAATCCAAAATCAACACAAATAAGGAAAAGCATTCCCATTGAAAACATACACATCCTCACTTCAAGAAGACAGGGGCAAGTACGAATTGAGGGGGTGCAGTTTGAAGAAACAAAATAGTGGTTATAATTTGAAAATAACAACAATGAAATCATGTAAAAAGAATAAATAATAATACAGAGATAGAAGGAAATAGATCAGAAAAGAAATACACTTACAAACATTAACGCAAATAAAACATATCACAAAATACTAAAATATTTCAGGTTATTCTTATTTTGGACAGAACTGTCACAAATTTTTGTGAATAAAAACGATTCCAACATGGTATTAGGTGTCTTTACACATAATGTCTCATGGGATTAATCTTTAATATTTTCTGGGTTCATTATCCAAAATGATAGAGCTGTCAAAATTTAAAGAATGAGAAAAATCAAGGCAACTTCAAGAAATTAAGTTGAGTTTAGTTCTCTGCCTGTTTCTTTAATGTTATTTTATTCTTTGTTTGAGAACACGTTTTCTATGTCTCACATAAGAGTCTGAGCAATCATGACAATTCAGCAATAATGAACTACATTTTCTTTATATGTTAGAGAGGTTGCATCACTGACATTCCTAACAAAATTCTGTTTAAGGGGACCTGGGAGATCTATGCTAAGCCACAAGTATCTTTTTCTCTGTTCCTAATTGACTGATTATTTTGAATCTTATACTGCAGTTTAAGTGCACGTTGTTATACATTTTGAAATTCCTTGTTTAGCTTTTATATGATATATGCAAGAGAAAAATGTTTTTGAATGATCGTATGAAAGAAGTTTTCAAAAATGGTAGCTCAAAAACTTATAGCACTGTTTAAAAACTAAATATCAAAAAATACCTTGTCACAATGTGCATTAATGAATGTTTAAACTACCTGGAAAGTTTCAATTAAATTGATTGATTAGTTCCTGAAAAATGTTACTTATGTAATCAAAAAGTACCTTGAGGAAAATTGAAAAAAAAAAGAAGAATTTTGGTTTCTTTCCATAAATCATGCATTATTGTTAATGCATTCCAGATTAATGATCTGACCTATTGTTACAGAGGGACGCTAAGTTCTTTTTTTTTCCTGCATTTCATCACTTCCTATCTAACTCTTTCATTGCATTGACCATATAAAGTCCAGGTTTGATACCAAGCATTTGAAGAACCTCACATCGTCGATTCAAAAAATAACATTTTCCTTTCCTTTTTTCTTGAATCTTGCTGATGAAAGGTTATTTTGGAAAAGACAAATAAAAAACACAACACTTTGGTGCTTTGAAATACTATACAGAAACACAGTACTAAATACAAACATACACACACCTTTTGTTACATCGTTTCTTACATTGTGGACGGAAACTCATACAACAACAAACATAATTCACTATTTAAAAAAAATCCCTGCAGTAACAGGACTCAAAATTTTTATAACAAACTGAAAACACATCACGGCATGGTGACTCGTTAGGCTAAGGAACCAGATCATCCTGACATTGAACTTTCAAAAATTCGCAAAAAATATTTTGAAAGCCCAAACAAGAAAAATATGTACATTTCTTGATAGAGGAAAAACAGGGCTATAGAATAGAAGAAGAAAAAAAACCATTTTGGGGAAAAAAATTATTTATTTTTTTTAAACTCCCGGATCCCCTTAAAGGGCATGGTCAAAAGATACCCCTACTCCAATCTCCAGTAAACATCCACTATGAGTAAGGATCATGACAACCTAATAAGGATCAGACAAGCACCTATCACGTGGCATGCGACACACGTTTTTATGAACTTGACTTTTAGAATGAAAAAACACATCACACAATGTGATCTACGAACATTCACATATATTCGATACCAAAATTTATGGTATTTTTAGCCTTCTTTAATTTCATTTTAATTTTATAGCTATTACAGGAAGATGGAGAGAAGTGTCACAGAAAGGTTGCTGTAATTTGCAGTAGTTTGACAACTTTAACATCATTACCTTTTAAGAATTTTTCCAAATATTTGTTACTTTTTTATTGGACACTTCACAAATAAACTCGCTTGAATTTTGAAGAGTGTTTTTGAAACTTTATTCCACCTATGAACTTGTAAATACATGACTGTCAATAACTTAATACAAACATGAAGTGACCTAAATTGATGACAGTCAAAAACGAACTCGTTAACCAAGGACAGACCTACTCTCACTTAGCCTTGTTCATCACATATTGTTTTCAGTTTTTATTAAGACACTTGTATTAATAAAATTTAATATACTACACTTTTTATGGTATAGTGATCACACATTCTGAAAAATCAAATTTACTAATTTGACGCCATTTTCCTGCTACTCAAGTTGCATTAAACACCTGTCATAAGGTTCAGGAACTTCTTCACTTACTTCTTTAATGTTTTTCAGAGCCTGCTGCTGCATTTGAGACAAATGATGCATACGACTTTCATATTCCACCATTGGTGGATACTGTATCTGAACAACTGGTTCTACACAAATATTAGAGATCAACTTCCGCATTACCATGGCATGACGCTCTTTTGCCCTAAACTCTGGATTTTGTCGCTTTATTCTCATTGCTATGCGATTTCGTTCTCTCTCCTTTTCTCTTACTTCAGGGTCTTGTCTTCGTAGTCTGGTAGCAATTAAATTTCTCATCCTCTCCTTTTCTCTAAAAACAGGATTTTGTCTTCTTTCTCTAGCTGCCTGTGCATTCTTTATTCTCTTCACCATTTCATTTTGTATTTGTACAGTTCTCATCATAATCATTCTCTTTGAATCATCCATTCCCCTATTTGTTTCAATACCACATATCCCTCGACTTCTACATTTTATCAGTTATTGTCACAAACGTTTGATATTAATGAAGTCCCACGAATGATGCAGACAAGATGTAAACAAACACACTTGAGTTTGAGATAACCCAACTTCCTATTTGACGTTTGTATAGCAAACTTTGCAGTCTCGAACAAATGAAGGCGACTCCGCAAGATGATCTTCAACCAATTGCAGATGGCGATTTATTTAACAAGAATACGAATGCAGTAGGACCAACATTGTTCCCTGCTCAGTACTTCAGTCTTCTCAAACCCATCAAGGTCATAATGAGAGGGCAACAGAAGGTGGAAGTCGTTTTCATAACCTGCGAAATTACCGATTTGTGCAGCTTTTAAAACTCACTCTCATGATTTTCAAAAATGTAAAGTTCCGCAAGGCACTACCATTACACACGTCGACATTGTAATTACATCACAAATACATAACCAAACAATTCTTAGCGAAGCCAAAAATTAATTTAATATACGTTTCTCCTTAATGGTCACTCACCAGCGCATTCTTAGTACACTTAGCAAACTAAACAACCTTAGATAGTGCACCTGGAAAATAATTATATTGAAATCTGTACTTACGAAATATTGTACAGAGTTCGGCGTACTCATTATTTCGGCTGCGCAATGAATTCGAATATCACAGTACGTTTGGATATTCTCCTTGATCCTTCCTCGGATAGAAAAAAGTAGATACACACATACAACTTAAACAACCAACTTCTATATTATCTTTTTTCATCCTGAGCACTTCACATCTGCTATCGCGTTCTGCGCATGCCCGCCGATTAACTGCCCACCGATATATCGATCACAATCTCGCAGCTTTAAACGACGCAGGCGCGCTGAAGTTCAAAATGCCGCGCACCATGAAACTAAATATATCCATTGAAAACTGAAGTTCCATAACAAGCAATGAAGAACAAATAAACTAAACTTATTCATCCTTTAAATATGTTCTTCATGAAGATTTGAATTCACATTTACAGTTTATTTTTAAAAACTGGAAGATTTTTTGAATTAATCGTCTAAACAATAAGATTCTTGATGCATTTGTGTTTCGAAAACCTTTTCGATCTCGAAGTACATTTAATTTTGGGAAATATATACAGATTACTTACTCTTAGTTACATTAAACATAGATTACATATGAATTTGTGGATTTTCAAGTAAATGTTTCAATATTTTTAAAATGTAATGAAGTTTAGTTAACAAACATTACTCACAAGCCACTGTTATCTAAATAAATGACAAAGTGGAATTTACAGTCATGCCGAAGATAATTAAAATGTGAAAATACAATGGGATAATGGGTCACACTGAATTATTAATTTTATCAAGAAAAGTGTGACCTTCACTCTATTTCCAATATGCTTCCGAAGAATCATGGTCAGAACATAATTGATTCATTTTTACTTATTCTCCCTTTACTGTAGTGAAGTATTTGATTTTGATGTACTATACAATACAGTAATATTTGAGATGATATAAATGACGTTTAAATTATAATGCAAAGTTTTAGAGGCACAAAACGCATAGAGTTTATTTTTGATACAATAAAATACGACCATGTGTCAGAATTTTTGACAGACTACTTATGCTTACTCTACACAAAGATTGTTCTCCTTTGTAAAATTATTGCATTGTTCTCATGCAAAACGCTTTGTGAATACGTATTGTAAATTCCAATCGCCTGAAATTCAACCGAGCTTTGCTCAGCTTTGCTTTGTGTATCACGTCACATCACGACTTCGTTCGGTAGATCATTCACCATTACAGCTATCCGAGCCTGGATTAAACCACCAGCGTGTGTAAACGTCCTACACCTATGCCAATTAGATCTATCTAACATATGTTGATGAGTGTAATTGACACGCGAATCGGTGTGTTGGACATTAAAGACTTTTGAAGAAAAAAAATCATTGATTTCATCAATCAAGAAAATGATACTTGTGTTTAATTAATTTATTAGAAAACATTTTATAAAGATAGTTCACAAGCCAGTCACTATGTAGTAGAACACCATTATCCTGCAAATGATATTTTGAGATGTCATTTCTCTTAAACATCGACGAAACGTATGTTACATATTACCAGGTGATTGTGGGGGAAGATATGTGTAATCTATTGCTGCGAGAACTCTAGAAATTTCTTATAAGCCTTCTTGGGTGATTTCTATATTTCTTTGAAACTTCACGAACTCACTACACTTGAAGCAGTACATTGAGAAATGGTAAACAACCCTGCTCAAGCGGAAACCCGCCGCAACTTTCTTCTAAACAGTCCCAGTGCTGCCACTTTGTTGATTCGGGAAAGGTAAGATATTGTATACTCATCTCCTCTCTCAGTTCCTCCCCAAATCCGTGATGGTACTGAAACTGAAAACCTCTGTAAATCATTACTGATTTGATATAAGTACATATACGTTGTCTTCGTCATCTGCAACACAAACCAATCAGTAAGATTACATAATGACACAGACTTTCTCGTACTAACTCGTTCTCACACTCTTCGGTATTTAAAAGACTACCAGGGCCTCCCGCGGGACCTGCCGCTCAGTACCTCAGAGACTCCGAACAGGGCCTACACCTATCGCGGCCCTGTACCTCTACAATTTTGCTCATTGTATTCCTTAACCCTGCCTGGCTGTTTCCTCCATTGTTCAGGCCTTCCCAGGTTTGGAATGCCTCCAACGCCTCAAACACAACTAGCATGTCTTACATGTTACCCACAACTTTGACTCATCTGCCCGAACTCTTGCCTCATGGCTTGCTGCCCAAACACCGGACCGTACTAATGTGAAAATGTTACGGTTTGCAATATAATAATTTGATAAAACCAATAATACAGCTAAAACAAATATTTGTCCTTCTAATTTTTAATCTACGTGACTGAAGCACTTGAAACTATTTTTACTTTTTCGCACTTCGTAAAAACAGAAAGGCATGTAATCGTGCGGTAGAAAACTGCAAACTTTCGGCTGAAAAACTGTTTTTTTAGCCGGGCCCTGGTAACGAAAAAGTTGATAAATCCTCTTGCTATATATCAAATTACTTCATCTAACACGTGGTGTAGCAAGAATCTATGTTTTGTGGTTCTTTAATACCGAAAAATTGATTAACAGCAAAACGTGTCTCTGTCCGCTTGTGGCCAACGCTAGCTGCTAAACCGTTCACCCGATTTTCTCCAAAATTGATTCCCCAATCGACCAGACGAACTCAAGACTTCATCCGACAAATTCTCGGTATTTTTGAAATTGCAAAATTAAAAAATTTCGCCTTCAACAAAATGTGTTCTAAAAAACCATACCTTAGAAAAGGTCATGTACTGCTTGTGAAATCGCTTCCAGTGATCAGCTCATGACCTTTTATGGCTTTCTAACCAAGAAGTGAACCGTCATAGTCGTGGGAAGTGGCGACAGAGAAAACAACAGGATCGTGTTACTCCTAGTTTGTGTGTAGACTGAAACGTTTTAAAAGAAGTTTCAATAGAATATCGAATAGCTTATGAATATTATTTTTTAGTTACAGCAGGCCTTATGTGTCGAAATGAGTGTAGATAGTCCTGTGTTTCTTGGTGCCGTTAAGTGCCGAAAAAGTCTTTAATTGTGCATTTTAATGTGATAGTGAAAGTTTTGGCAGTCATGGCGTTGTCAGAAGATAATTTAGATGGTTTTCTGCCATTGCTGCTTCAAGTGATACAAAAAGTAAACTTACCATTGCTAACAACCTCATCAATTTTCTGGCCGAGCCAGAAAGCTCTATGAAATGTTCTGACATTGAACAGTTCATCGATAGCCTCATACCATTACTCTAACAACAAGGTCTCACAAGCTGGAATCGAAGCAATGGGCTATGTTGTGGACCGCATGGGGATGGATTTTAGACCACATATAGTAACTGTTTTGCCACCAATTATAGATTGACTTGGTGACAACAAAGAAGTTCGAGAGAAAGCTCAACTTCTGCTTTTACGGCTTGCGGAAAGAGGTTTTAACACCTCAGGCTCTTCTAGAGACGTTGACAGCAGCGTTTTCTCATAAAAAATGGGACAATAACAGAAGTTTTACAGTGTTTACAAAGGACATTGCCTGAGCATGGTGCAGCGTCATTATCGGTTTCGCGTGGTTCCGCATATCGTTAAACTATTAAGTGATCCTGGGCGAGATACTGCCTTTAACACATTAGTGGAGGTATTTCGTCACGTTGGAGATCGACTTCGTCATCATTTATTGAAAAAGCACACTTCCTCCTGCAAAATTGCCTGTGTTATTGGGGGGCTTTGATGAGTGGCAGTTAGTTGGTGACCTACCTTCTGCAGTGGCTGTTGATAGTGGGCGGGGCGCGGGCGAGGACGAGCCGGCCAGCGCCGCGGCCTCCGTCTCCGCCAACCCATCAGCCGGCGGTCGTGGACGAGGGTACCTTCCGGCGCAGCTTCGACGGCGTCCGTCTTCTGCATGCGGGAGATCGAGGGGCGGCCGGCGGCGGTCCGCGACACCGTCGGCGACCCAGCCAAGCACTGGAGTCGACGCGACGCGGCGCCAGGGCGCGCTGGTGGTGGCGCGTCGCGGAGTAGCTGCCCATAGCGCCGCCAGAGAGCGCCGCAGTGCACAGCGTTCCCTTGCCTTGCAGATCGGCCTCTCGATGGCGTACGTGTCAGAGCGGCTGCGCGCTCATACAAAACCAGTCCAGAACTCCGCCAAGGCGCTGGCGTCTGGTGCCGCCGCCAGGCCGCGAGCTGGCGTCGTTCAAGTCGCGCGACACCCGGCGCGCGTGCGCCGAGCTGCTGGCGCTGCTGCTGACCGGGTGACCGAGCGCGGAACTCGAGCTCTTAATTATTAAAAGAAGTTCTAATTCCTATTTGGTAAAAGGAAGAACTTTTTCAATTTTGTGAAGTTCATTTTTTATGTGTATGAAGGTGTGTTGAAAAAAATTCTGACAACAGACACCATATAAATCAAAAATTATCTTCAGGTAATAGAAAAATATCCTTCCTTTGAATAAAAATAACTAGAAATGAAGATTTATTAACAAGTTTTATTACTTTCTAAGGAGTATATTACTTATGAAATAAGTATCGTAAGACATCTTAAGACAAGCATAAAATATCTTAAAAAGTTATCAAATTACATAGATCGGGTTTGATAACCTATCACATGTTATATAAGATGTTTCAACACAAAATATTGTTAATTTTTTAAATTTCATGTGTATAATTTGGTGGAAGAGTGTTCATCAGCATTTATCGGAGAGCGATGCGGTCTTCGGCCACGCTCATTTGTTATCGAAGCTGTCAAAATCGTTTACTGCCGTGCTGAATGCTCTGTATGTAACTTTTCGCTTACTACAAGCCACTACAGGCGAATAGGGCTTAACAATGGATCCCATACAATTGGTAGAAGTAAGTAAACCTTTTAAGATATTATTTAATAAGTTTCAGTATTCTATAACTGTGATTTGACTTCACAGATACACGTTAATGTAGAAGAGTCAAATACATTACTTAAGTTTCAATTTTTTTATGTATGTATCGCTCCTTCAGTAGTAAAGTGTCGTAACAAAAAAAAAATTGAATTTTCAAATAAATATATTATTTAAAGTGAAATTATATGCCCTTGCGTCCTAGAACAGTGTCATTTCTTTTTAGGCCTACATCATTATTTGTTAATTTAATTTCAAACCTTTTAAAACGCGCTCCTGAAAAATCACCTTTTTTGAATAACTACACTTTTCTACTGGGTGTACATATTTCTCGATACAACATACATCAAATATGTCACCTATGTAACACTAACCTAAAAATAATTTATTTCATTGAAAGTACTATCTGAATGTACAGAACTTGGGGGATCCTAAAGAACAATGTTGATGGCTCTTGAATTACACGCATACTAATATTTTGTGTAAGGTAGTTACGAGAAATTTGGAATTAAAATGGTAAGAAAGTATTTTTTTGGTGAAGCCAATGCTCATTGCCTATGCTTCTCCTTTTAGATCAAGCAAGAACCTGAGGAGCACGTTTGGAATTCACAAGTATGTATTTCCTCAATGCTTTTCTTGTAATAATTTTTTTTTTTTTTAATTTTATTATTTCCCATAGTCCTTGGAATTACATAGTTTTGAAGAATCATCATAAATATCTGAACATTTTAAATCGTTCTTATACATATCCTGTCATACTCAAATAATTATCTTATTTTCACACATAAACTTTTCAGTTATTTATCGTAATGTTATGGCTGACAAAACCTGACTAATTCGTGAATTAGCCAGTTAATATTCACGTTGCTCAAAATGGATGGATAAAGTCTGATATAGGTATAGCTTCAAAGCATACTTCAGACTTTATGCAGATGAATTAGCCAGCTCAAGGATACTATGGTAGGTGAAGTACATTATGATGTTGAGGAATAGCAAATACTATGTAAAACAGAAGTGAAACTGCTAAGGGTAGTGAGATACAAGTTGTGTGGTTTCAAATTTCAAGTTTGAGATAATCGGATTTGTTTTTCACCATTTCTTCCAAGATATTAATATTTAATCAAAATTGATTCTAAAACAAATTGTGATTTATTTATTCATTCCAATTTCACTCAAAGTTATAGAGATCGAGTCTCTTCATCTTTAGGAACAAATTGTTAGTTAGAATACAAGTTAACATACATTAATTATTTTATAAATTATATTATACGAAAATGTTAAGACAATAATGAAAAATGTCTATGCTAGCAGAAGAATAGGCTGATTCTTTCTTTGTCATCAGTTTAAGTTATTTCCATGTGTGGTGATCAATACATGATGTTATTACAATATTAGGTGTTGTGAATAATTTAGGATCATAATTCCATGTCATTGACATAATCGAAGCAGTGTTACTCATTGGTAAGGTTACACATATTTAAATAAGTATCTATTGAAAGCTGGTTTTGATGGTCAGACTGTTATTGCCAGATTTATTTCTCCTCAAACGTAGGAACATGAATGGGGTGGGGGGCAGGGTAGAGGCGATAAGAAAGGTTTCATTTACAGTTTTTAATTCTATGAATTATGTTTTTTATGCAAATTCTTAAAATTGTTGTATTCTTCAGTAAATGCACTTCAATTTCATCATTTGTATACAATAAAAGATTTAAATGAGAATGAATTTACTTAATGCAAAATTGTAAATTAATCTGATAAGACCATAGTGGTGTTCCTGATTCAGAAGCCAAGTTCATATTAAGAAAGTTGTTCATACGTAGGTTATTAAAATGTCTTTTTATGTATAAAAAGTACTTTATATTTCTCTCAGTGAAGCAGTGCTGTCACATATGAAACACATTTTCTTTGTAAGCTCATGTCCTGTTTTTTTCTTCCATGTTTTATGTTCTAACAAAATCTCGTAACCTAGGCTAATGTCAACATTGAAATGATCCATTAATAGAAATAAAATAAAGATATGATCAGTTTATCATTGTTCATGCAGCTTTATCCAAACTATCTAGTTAAGGAGTGAATTATCTGGCTAATTCACCAATCGGTTATATTTCTGATTTTTATCAGTAATGTAAATGAATTTATTCTGCAATGACATTGGCTGCTTTTTGCAATGACATTGACATCAAATCCTCAAAATCAACAATTTCATATTGTTAACTAGATACAAACTCATTAACTTAAGATTTCATTTTATTTAAAATGAATTATTTAGAATAAAGCTATTAGTCGATTATAACATACATATATACTTTATAAACAGTTTTATGTGACAGAAAATAAACAATGGTATCTGTAATGCATGTAAGGACAATTGTAATATTTTTCAATATTTAAATTTTAAAATCATGGAATTAATTTCACAATAAATTAAAATAAACATGTGTTTACCATTCTAGGAGGATGCAGATGATTCACATGAACTTGAGTCGAAGAATTGTTCTGAAGACCATGATGAATCTCGGGTACAGTTGTGTTCATTGAACAAATATTCACAAAATGAGCTAGAGTTATTGTTGGAGATAATGATAGGGTGAAACAATCCCTTTAGGAGAGTGTCTATCGATACGTCGAGCATGACTGATGCTCCTATGTTCTCTTCGACTAGAGCTGTACTGTGTCAGTGACCATCGAAGAGAACGTGTGTGGCTTGGTGTGTGCTAACAGTGTGTGGTGCATCACCAGTTGTAATCCGCCTGTAATCAGGGAAATATCTGTGTCGAGAGCTTGGGGTGGGTACTGTCCATAATTCCAACAGTTATCTGTATGGTTTTGAATATTGTCAAGTCATGTGAGCAATTTTTTTATGCTTATTGATGAACCGTGTTGGAGGTGTTGTCGATGATTAACATGTAGAAATGATTTACATTTATTTCACAAACAATGGCTAACTTGTGTTTGTGCTCTTTTAGTTCCTAATTTCATTCATTTTCATTTCACCAACTGGAGAGTGTTTGCACAAAATCATTGTATTTATGTTGCTGGAATGCCAGAACATTACACTATATTATATATTATGCAATATTATTTGCATGCATAATCATGTGATGTTAAATGCACTGAATAACATGATGTAATCACTATTTTTATAAATTCTTTTGATTTGTTACAAATTGCATAAAAGTAATTTTATAGATCTCTCCTTTGTTAACACTTTCAATCCTGAACTTTTGACATTTTAATTCCAGAATGCTGGCAATTTTGGGAATTCTTTTAGTGATAAATTAGAGATAGGTCTAGCTGATAAAGGTTTCTCTCCATTTTTATACCGGTTAATGCAACAATTATGTAAGCTATATTGTCATTTGCAGGTTATTTCAGTTGACATGTCCTTAAAGAGTGAAGTGAAAATTGAAGATCATGATGTTGATGGATGTGGCGAGGACGAAAATGGCGATGTTGATGAGGTGAGCTGTTGCCATCAAATGCCTCTGTTTATTTTTCTTAATATGTTGAGATTTTGTTTTCACATCATACATTATAAAAACTAAATACGTTAGTATATTTCTACTGAATTGCACAATGCCAGGTAGGGATTGCCAAACCATTGATCTCCAGCTACTAGAAAGTTGGAAAATTTCCGTTAGATTGCAATGTCACCCTCATACTGTAGAATCTGGGGCTATTGTTCTGAGTTCAGACGATGCACAAAAACAGTTTCTTGCATACCTCCTGCACCACAGTCACTTCATAATTGAATGCATGAATTTGAAGTAATGACCATACATGTTTGGCATGTACACTAGACATACACTAATGTAAATAATTAGATGAAAGTTCTTACTTCTGGCACTGATCTAAGATTATATTGGGAAATTGAAGTTGTAACACTTAATTTTTTATTTTTTCTCTCTCCAAAATAGGAAATGCCCTGACAATTATAAAGTGTAATATGACGATTAATGCAATGACAGAGTGTAATTAGGTACAATATTCCTAAATTAAAAATAACCCAAAAAGAAAAGTAAAATAATTTTTTTAAACTATGAATTTTACCAGCAATTACACTTATTTTTACTGTAAGGTTGTTTTCAGTAGTAATAGTTTGGATATTTATGTTTCTTCTAATTGTTTACAAAAAAGTGTCTTTCAATGTAACTTAAGAGGTAGGAATAGTAATTTCTTGTTCACTTTTTAAATACCCCGTATTTAGTTACTATTTAAATGGGAAAAGTTAATGAAAGAATATAAAACATACAAATCTAATTTGTGTTATATAATGTAAATTTAATAATTAATTTAATATCAAAAATTGTATAGCATTGACCATAGCAAAAGTACAGGTTTTCAGTCCAGATGAAATTCTAATTAGCTAACATGTACTCGTGTCAACAAGTTATTCAACATTGTTAAGTTGTTAATATTTATTTTTTTGTCTTAAATCAATTATGTTAAAGCTTTCTCTCTCAAAATTTACAAAGCGAGTATTAAAGCTGAGAAGTGTTTATCTAATCCACGTTCAAACCTTTGTAGGAGATTAGGCCTCCAGAGGCAGTGTTTATAAAACAAGAGATGGATTGGGAACAACAAGAAGAAGAAGACGAGGAGGAGGGAGAGGTAAGAAGATCAAGTGCCGTTGTATTTGTACATTCTTTGATTCCACATACTTTGCACAGTATGAACTGAAGAGTAAAAGGACTTACAGTAATTGAGAATTATCATTCAAAGAATGAGTAACCATCTACAGATTTTCATTATTGAAGGTGAAAATATTACCTAATTGGAAGATTTTATGTTCTCTTCCAATGTCTTTGTCTAATTTTACTTTCTCGCCATACTTAAAATATCAATTAGTCAATAAACAAATTAATCCAGCCAGATATTTTCTCCATGCTGAGATTTAAACTCGGGTCTAAAAGTTAACACGCTATTCACAGTACGCCTCTTCTACCAGCTTTACAACTAATGATGATTAGAATGTTGATTTGTTGCAGGCGTCCTTTCCAATGAATGGGGAGGATTTCAATGAAGCGAAAGATGGAAGTATAGGGTTACTGGGTAAGTACATTCAAAAGTGCAAATAAGTTTTATATTACTCGGGAGGAAGAATGTGATGGTTTCAAATGCTGTAGGCTTACTTTCTTGGTACTTTTATTCACCATTTAACAATTTATAGGTTGTTTTTTTTTTATTTTAAAGGTGGGGTAGGGATTCTGTAGCTCAAGAATACACACATAATTTTACTTTTCTCCCATTTGTCATGTCTAGTTTTTTCTATTTTTTGACAATAAATCCAATTCCTCTTCGCAGATGGAACACCCAGTCTGAAATTGGAGGGACCTGCTGGTAAACAACGTGTCTGCACCTGCTCTAACATCGTCTCCAATGATGAAAGCGATGACTCAACCCTAATAAACCCAGGAGGAACGTCATCCAAGCATCATCCCTGTAAGATGTGTTCATCAGGTAAAACCTCGAAAGTTTCCGGGCAAAAGAAGAATAATCGGATGTATGAATGCTCCATATGCCATAAGCGTTTTAAACAAAGAGCATATTTGGCTGCACACACGCGAATACACACAGGGGAACGACCCCTTCAGTGCCATATCTGTCTAAAAGACTTTACGTATAGGCAGGGTTTGTATAAACACATGTTGACACACTCTGAGGAAAGGCCACACAGTTGCTCAGTCTGCCAGAAAAGCTTTAGGAAAAGGGAACATTTAGTTGGGCACATGCGCACACACTCAGAGGAAGCACCATATCCTTGCACAAACTGTGAGAAGAGCTTCAAAAGGAAAGAACATTTACTGAAACACTTGAGGACACACACAGAGGAAAGGCCGCATCATTGCTCAGTCTGCGAGAAGTCATTCAGAGAAAAAGCAGTTTTACTTAGGCACATGGAGTTGCATACTGAAGGAATGTACGCTTGTTCCATTTGCAAGAAAATATTCAGAGACTTTGCTAAGCACATGCGATTTCACTCTGCTGAGAAAGTGTGTGAATGTCCCGTGTGCCATTTGAGCTTCAAAGTGAAAGAGTTACTCAACCACTTGAGCACACACACACAGGGGAAGGACCTCAATGCAAGGACAGTCTCGCAAGAGACCGTTTAGATCCAAACATTAGAAAATGTGGACAGTTGCTCCACATTTCTAAATGGCTGTGGCAAGAGAATAGGTTTGTCAACTCTCTGCCTAGAATTGAATACGTTTCAGGTTTGTTCTCACAATTCTTGCATACAGCACTATGAATGACACACCAGCCTTTTTTTGGCCAAGATGGCAAACAATTTCAAAGTTTTGTAAGCAGCTGATGTCAAGTCCTGTCATTTTTCATGTGGTGTAGAAAGAGATTTGTAGTAAGAATACATACTAACACTCTGATTTAAACACAGTGGTACTTGGAGGTCATGAGCTGGAAGGGGAGACATTGATCTCCAACCAGGAGGTCCAATACCAAATATTAAAGGAATCGATATCCGTGTCCCCTCTCCTTCCAGCTCATGACCTTTAAGGGCCACCTCATGTTTAAATCGAAGTATAAAAATTATCTTTAGTATTCTTAGTGTAAGAATTATAATGCGAGTAATTTGATATTTTACAATCAGTATTGTGAAGAACCAGCTGAGGTATTCACTACTTATATAATGTGTGTTTGAAAACAAGCATTCATCCCTGGGTTAAGTTCTATAATTAGCAATCACTTACCACCACCACAACAACAACAACAAAAACAAATAACAACAGCCCGAGTTGGTTTTCCCAATAGCTTTATGGTGACCTACCAAGAAATTATCTTTAGACGTAAACAAATATACAATTATGACGTACTTGCAGGAAAGGAATCCCATTATCCTTAATTATTGTTTGAATGGGTAAGAATTGGAATATGTACCTTCATTTAAAGTTCATCATTGTTATTTCAAATGTAATAATTATAAATGTCATTGCCAACAATAGTCAACTATTGTTGGCAATGACAATGTTTATAATTATTTCATGAAAAATGCCAACGATAACGCACCACAACACCTGTATTTCAAATGTACCAACTCTTCAGATATATTTTACATTAATTTGTTCTTTACTTTTATATTCTCAAATCTGCTCGCACTTCTATGTAACTCGCTGTAACAAACTTCAATCTTAACACAAATTTTTAAACTGTGTGGCATGGAAACTTGAATTGTCTTCACCAAGATGATCTCGTTTTATTCAGATACCAACTATTTGAAACATCATTTAATTAACATCTCATAGAAATTTCAAAAATTATTCATCTTTTTATGATCTATTAAATGACAACATTGATTGCGATTCTACTATAAAAAAAAAACTAATTGGAAAGTTCCCTTTCATGATTTGAATGAATTCAAATGTTTTTTTACAATTCCAACATCTCAAACTACTTTATATAATAATGCACCATTTAGCTGTATGAGAAGATTAGCAAATAAAAATGACATTACTTTTCATGAAAATTCACATTTCAAGATTGGTGAAGCAAAGGAAATCTATTGACTAATTTTGTTTGAAAACTAAACTATATACATTTTGTAATTATGTAGATTTGACAATATAAGTAAAATATAAATTTAGTTGTATATTCAGTAATTGCCTGATTAAATAAATAAATAAATATGTTTGGATAAGGATTTACTGTTTCCTCTTTTTGTACATTTATTATCAAAACCTTCCTGAACCCCAAGTGATAGCTTCTTCTTCCAGTGATTATCGGATGTTAAAAAGAACTAAACAATCGCAGAGTGTAATCCCTTCGAACTCCAACATTCTTTTACAGCCATGCCTGCCATAATTATCATAATAAAACCTTGTTTAGTATCTTGTGCTACACAACAATTGCTGTTGTAGCATTGCAGAGAATGTTAAATTAGATCAAAAAAAGAATGTGGCCATCCGAGGAGCAAACATTAAAAACATGACACGTCCACTTCACTGTACTCCAATAAAAATGAAGAAAATGTAACACAAATTGTACATTTTTCATCATTATCTTCAACTTGATGGATATAATATATAGAATTACTTGTAAGACATCTCACATTTTTTCCTGGAAATAAATTACTTGGTACAAACAATAGAATTCAATTTTTGCCAAACGGATATTCCACCATTTGAATGCTCGCTCTTCATTGAGCTCTATGGAAGTTTTGCGACTGCAAAAGATTTTCAAAATGCCCTTCCAATCTGAACATATTTTAAAGCAAACTTACAGAAAATTGTGATAAATTACTCAATACACGTAGCATAAGTTCTTCAACTTTATAAAGGTTTCCTTCAATTTCGTCCACACCCCCACGTACTTGGTGTTTTAATGGGTTCTGGAATGTCATTTTGTATGTGACTATTAGAACACACAGACCCCCAGAAACTAGTAGCAGTGAAAATCTCATGGCACGCGATGGTGCCACAAAGCGTACCTTTGTCACCAGTACGAGACATCACTGTTGTAAAGCCCATGCAGAATCTTGTCTTCCTTCCCTGTATGAGAGGTCTTTTGAAATTGTATATATAGACACTAATTCAGCAACTCATCACGAGACAAAGGAGAATTTGACTACATCTATTCTTTGTATTTGTGTTCTAATTTTATTTAAAAAATCTGGTTTATTAAGCCTTCCCTTCATGCAAAGCAACAGTATAAAATTTATAGTGCGCAAAGTCGTGCCCATTTTCTTCGGTGTTCTAATGATTCCCAATGCGCTTTTATGTTCCTCCGAAAAGTGAATTTTGTCGCTCTGTGCAAATCCTATTCTGTATGGATCCCAACAACTAGCTCCGTATTATGTTACCGGTCTAACATGAGCAGTAGTATACGCGAGATCTTTTGCTCATCATGACGAAGTATAAAGACCTCCAAGCTTTACCCACTACATATTTCGATTTTTTCTCCCAACCCAACGTGCTGTCCAGTTCAGTGCTGAGGTATTTACAGTTTGAGACACGCGGAACTACATCATTACCTAATGATAGGCTACTTTATGAAAAGCTCTGGCCCTACAAAATGTGATAGCTTTATTTTTCTTTCCATTTGTAGTCGTTTTATTAGTTAATGTCCGATCATATATTTTATTTAAATCGTTCAGTAATTGAATCATATCAAGATATTCAGCAATTTTCCTTCATAATATAGTCGTCAGCGAAGAGTCGAATATTTGACGTTATATTTCGTGATAAATCATTTGCAAAGATAAGAAAGAGCAGTGGGCCTATGACACTGCCCTGAGGGACCCTAGAAGTAACATTACCCTTTTTGGATAAGTGCTGTCCAATTCGGACTATCTATTGCTAAGAAATTCACTTATCCATGATATTACCCGCCTGACGATTTGGGCATTGATGAGCTTCAGTATCAAAGTCATGCAGCACAAATCAAACACTTTAGCAAAACGAATAACTATTGCATTCACTCTTCTGCCTAAATCACTGTAATCTCTCTTCTGTCTAAATTACTTCAGACAAGTCTTGGATACGGAAATAATCTGACTTTCACATGAAAGGCATTTCTAAAGCTATGTTGTCCGTGAAAAAAGCATTGTCTGATCCAAATAACAATCTTTAAAAAAAAAAATCATCATTGTTAAACAGTTCATTTCCATTGTCATAAATTACACCATGTTTTAAGAAATAGCAAGGGCTTAACATGAAATACAATTTTTTTTTTTACAGATTTTTGACTTTGTTAATACCTAATCCTTTAAGCAAGCACATTTAAATTCAGATTAATGCCACAAATAAAAATTATAAAACTCCAGTAGACGATACTCATACTGAAAATTAATGAAAAATTTACGTGGCTAGTAACTTCACTTCATCAGCTTCAGCCATTAACTGTGTTTTTTTTTATTTTATCAAGACTTAGTTCCTGACGTATTGCATTATTACTTTTCCGATTCTGAAGGATGTATCCTGTCATGTTTGACAAATCTTATTTCTGTAAGATCAATTCCACTGTCTTGATATATTGTTGGAGGCCAGTTCTCATATCCATAAAGGAACGTTGAGATAGTCATTACTTTATAGAATTTTAGACATATTTCTTCGATCATCCCACACATTCAATTGAATATATTTATTGCATTATTCCTGTACGAGATATGTGTAACCTATATAGCTGAAATTGCTGACTTGTTTAAAGACATGGTCAAGTACTACTTTAATTTTAAAGGGTCTATTCCTTACAATGACCTTAGTTTTATTGATAGATTAAAAAAAAGTTTGTAGAGTAAATTATATTCTACAAACTGGTTCCAAGAGTGAACAGCAAATAAAAGCTTACCTTCAGAAATAAATATAATGATCTGGTCACCAGCAAAAAGTAGTGTGTCTTATGAAATAGTTATCAGTAAAATGATCCTTTAGATTATTTGTCACTCGCTTTGTATGCCGTCATCAACATGTACATGAAGAATAAGAAACTAAAAGCAAAAGTTGTCAACAATGGGAATCCTTGTCTTACTCCACTATTTATTTCTTCTGAATCAGGGAATCAATCTTTCATTTGGAAATAAAGAATCACTGACTGCCATACTAAGGTCAAAAGAACTATTCTACTTGGCAACTTCCAAATATGCACAATAAGGACAATAATTTCAACACATATCTATAAATATTGGGACAATGAAATAAAAGGATTTACATTACATAAACAAGAAACAAAATAACCGAGTCTACGAAAACACAAGAGAGAAAAACAAATTTCAATCATTACTTAAAAGTAACATAATGAAAGTCGTACAAGAAAGTACTGTACTTTTTTCTCAAAGGAAGCGAGACTCTTATTGTCACCTTCCTTTAAAAACTATGTAGGAACTATTTGTCTCAGTTTGATAATACAAATTTATGTACATTATGAAATACACTCCACATGTTATATATAATATATTTTTTTTAAATACTTACTATATTTATATATAAGCTTACCCGAGTCTTTTTTTTTCTTTACCTACATGCTTTATTGATTTGTAGATATTCTTTTGACAAATAATATCTTATACAGAAATTACCGAGAGAATTTTCTGTGTATGACAAATAAATTGTTTAAATATAATAAATCTTGGTGAAATGTTCAAGAATTTGATGAATTTACACATCTTTAAAGTCTGCAGGGCAATTTAGAAAACATGCATCACTAATTTTTATTAAGAATTTCACAAGAGTTGTTCATATCAATACATCAAAATATCCGATGATGAAACATCTCAACTTCCAACTGATGAAACGGGGCAGCCATTGGAAAGATTGGGATGTGCAGGTTCAGCACAGGTTAGTTGATTTCCAGAAAAAAATTCTTAGAATCTCTGTAAGACTGGCATGGAAACCAGAAACAGACCTTAAGGATTTTAAATTTAAAAAACTGTGCCTGTCATTGTAATAGGATTTAAATAGTAATATTTTTTTTCATACAGAAGGCATGAATGGAATGAAGGAAAGATTGAATTTTATTATGATTGTTTCCCCCATAGTCAACTACAAATTGGATAATCGCCAATTATAATATTTGGTCTATTAGATTCGGTTTTTATATTATATCATGGAAAATAAAAAGAAGATATAGAAATTGGGAATAAAATACTGAAAAACCAACTATAAGATAAACGAGGGCAAACACACAAATAAAAGATAGGTTTGAAGAATGGAGAAAAAAATGTTATCAAGGATTGGAAAAACAAAAGGTAAATTCTTTGATGGTGTAAGGTGATGAAATGTTTCTTAGGGAATTATACATCACAATATCTACAATTAAAATGTCATGAATATATTTACAAAATACTGTTCTCTGCTCAACAATGACCACATGAAATTTTATTTCCACTTTCATGACAACTCCCACTACCTGACAATCAAATTAATATTACACATAAACCATAGAAACTTTGCTATTGTAATTACAAATAAATTATTCCAGATACACAACAAATTAGTTCCATGAAAAAAATATTTTAAAAAACCTACCACTGTTTGAAAATACCAAAAAAACAAAAAAAAAAAAAAAAAAAAAAAAAACACCAATTGTTTTAGCAAATTTTTGTTTTGTTATATTTTTGCTCAGTACTACTACTATTATTTGGTCTACTTAAAGGCGCCTTTACAAATCTGATCACTAGATCTATTTAATTAAAAAACAGCAATTATTTTTATACAATAAATGTTGAACATTTCAGTTGTTTCTTTTCAAAATACTTCAGCTATAATTTCTCGTTTTCTTTATTATAGTACCCTATTCTATCTCAAAACATTAAAAACAAAAGGATGAAAGACTGCAAGTCTTGCAGTGACAAATTTAATTGAATACATTTTATTTATAGTTTCAAGGAAAACAATTGAAAAATTGTTAATGTGGACATAACATACACTAAACTGTTTCACATAGTAACCACTGACCAATTTCAATTCTCTTGAAAAGCACCTACATGACTGAAGCTCAACATTTTTTCAAACATTCAAACGTAGGTAAACTTCAATTGAAGGGCTTGGCTCAAGATAATTCTTTGTCACATTTACGACAAAAAAAGATAACCTTCTATCATACTCACCAAATCGATTATTGTGTGAGTATTATGCAATTGGTGAAACAAATGTCACTAAACTATGAAATCATTCATTCTTACTCTGGTGAGGAACATTGGATTGAACTTTTTATCTCCATATTTCTCAGAATGAACTTACAGCATAGGACTCTCTGTAGCCAAGCCCTTTAATTTAACTTGTTGACGTAAAAAAATACACACTAACACATGATGAAATATCTGATTTTAAAGTTTTAAGTAAATTTGCATAGGACATGAATAAAAAATAATAGCTAATCCTAGCAAATATTCAGTGTCCAAAAGTCAATGAGTCTTGCCATACAGTTCTCACCTACCTACCTCATAACCAGGAAACAACTTTAACAAACAATTGGACAAAGGTTTATTAACATCCATTTTGAAGTTCTGTCCTAAATCACCTCTACACGTGGGACATGAATATACTTCTGCTTTGAATGAACGTTTCAAGCACGAGAAGCAAAAATTGTGTTTACATTGAGTTGATATAGGCTCATAGACCAACTCCTGGCAGCAAATGCACATAAAAGAATCGGACACAAACGCAAGAAATTTCTGTTTACCTTCTTTAACCACATCCTGACAAGATTTCCATAGTTTTTCATTGACTTTGTCTTCTTGAATTCCTTTCAATACTTCTTCATCGAGGGAATACTCTTCCACTTTCACTCTTTTAGTTTGAAATAAAGTAAGCTGATTTGTTTCAAGGGGGCGCTTCTTTCCTTTCTTGGCACTAGAAGTTTTCAGATCTTCCTTCGCCTGGGGTACTTTTGCAGCCTCTGCCTCTAAGTAGCCTTCTGGATAAATCATCTTTAAGCCAAGTTTAGCAATGTGCGCTTTCCCTTCTTCAGTCCAGGGAGCAGGAGCAGGGTCGTCTCGGCGAAGCACATAGCGCCATACTTTAAAACCTGATTTCCCCTTTTGTGGATAATATTCAACAACTTTGTAGATTCCATCGTATCTATTTCCATCATCTGGAGCATATTTGGAATGTTTTCCCGCCTTGTAATTACGCACCACTCTAATTGGTTTCCCCTTTTTCCAATCTTTAGCCTTAGCACCAGCATCACTCAGAGGAGCATTGCAATTTAATGCAAGGGCTTTGTTCATACGTGTCAATGTTTGGTCACAACTCTGCTCTGCTGTTCGTTTGTTTCCTGATAAATCCCGACCACCTGACCCGGTGTAGAGAAACGTTTCCCCATTGTCTACATCGTCTTCATAACCTCCACTTAACACTATGCTGTAGGCACCGTCAGTTTCACGTCCATGGATTCCAGCTACATGTGGGCGATGGATTCCTGCTTCAGAGACTTGCAAACGAAATTTCCAGCAAGTACCAACTTCTACACCTGGAATTGGCCCATAGTGATTCGGTGGCACCAGAGTACACTCCTTTGTTCGACCTACACAGGCCATTCCTTTCCCCCAATCACGAGAGGATGAATTTACTGCAGATGCCATTTTCTCTTTTTTCTTACTTTTCTTCAGCTTCTCCCCTGGTTTTACAATTTCATTTTCATCATTCTTACAGAGAGGGCAATACCACTCCTCCGCTTCCGGGATGCTATCCATAGGTGGAACTAAACACTGAAGGTGGAACGCCATGTCACATTCATCGCACATAATCTGCTTCTCTGGTTCAGTCTTCAAACCACAAACATGACAACCACAATCTTTACACTTTACACTTGGTCTGTCTCTACACTGGGCACACGATGGAACAGTTTTACGCTTCGAAACAGGCTTTTGGTATTCATTTTCCTCAATTTCTGTCAGCAATCGTCGCTCTTCAAGTTTAAAAATTTCACTACAAAATTTCAGTTTCGCATCTTCAATCAAAGGTGTATTCCCCAAAAATATATTAACATGTACTTCTGCCATAGTTCTATTAATCTTTCCAAGCTTGGATATAGTACACTCATACCAATGCCCTCTTTCAGTAGGTTTATCGATATTATAATTTGCCAAAACTCTATCACCTATTTTTAAAGATGAACATTCTACAACATGTCTTGCTCTAGGTCTAATGTGATCTAATATCACCTCAACTTCTTCATTACAATCGAGCAAAACAATATAAATGAACCCATCATCCTTTTCATTTACACCATCAGAGACTACCTCCTTTTTTTTAATAGCAATAATTTTTCCTTCATCCCAAGTACCATTAATTGAATCCAATACATCAACCAAATCAGCAACCCTAAAATATTGACTTTCAACGATGTCGATACTCTTTTCACTTAAACAATTTTGACTGGTGCCAACTTCATTTTTTACTCCTGATACATCACAGTTTTTAGATGTATCACTTCCTTCCGCTGTTTCGTCCTTCTGTTCTGAAACTTTAGCCGAACTACTTTCCGTTGCAGAAACTTTAATCATCAACTGGACGACATCATTTACATTAATATTGTAATCAAAAATGGTATGTCCATCCTCTAATTGTTTTCCACGGTAGAAAAGTCGCTGCTTCTTGGGTTCTATTCCCAGGGTTTCACAGATGTCTATTTTCAAATCTTCTATTCGATTTGTCTTGGAGACAGTCAAAACCACATTTTTCTTGCCATCAATAGTTCTTACATTGATGTACATTTTTCTTTGCTTATTTTCAATTTGATTTCAATGCAAACTCAAGTAATCACTACGTCAAAATCGAAAATAAACTCCAATTAACACTTTAACACAAATGCCACTCTATCGCAATAACGAACACTAACATACGCAAGATCATAAACAAATCACATCACCAAACTAACGCAGAGAAAAATTCAGTGCACTTTAATCAATGAAGTTGCCACCGGTTGCCACACGCTTCCTGTACGCAACTTCGGATGGCGGCAGCTTAGACACACATCACTTTTCCGCGCTTCCCGCCAAATTGAGAACGAGATCTGAACGAGATTCGTTTCGGAATCTTTGCAGCGCCACTGTGGCACGTAAAGCTACTAATAGATGGCGCATGAAGCGACTAGGTTAACGACCTAGAATATACTAGCTATTCTAGCTCGTTGGAACTGGAATATACTAGCTATTGTAGCTCGTTGGACTAGCTAGCTACTTGCATAAGCGAATGACGCTCTTTGTAAAGTGTGTTGTGTATATTCAGGCGCGGATCCATGAGGGGATAAGGTAAATTTCCCTCCCCGCCAATTTTTCGGTAACCATTAATTTTAACTTCTCAAGAAAGTAACTACTGGTGCTAAAACATCACGTACTTTCTCGCCCATATTTCCACGTTAAATTACGCGAAAAGTTCTAAAATTTTCGAAAAATTGAACATGATCTGGATCTATGTACAATATAATCATATTGTAGTGATTACACTCCACGTACAAAATCTATCTTTAAGCAACAGATTTCAATAAGGGAAAAATCTCTATCTTTAATATTTTAGTTGTAGGAAAACCTCGAAAAAAATTGAACTTTTGCAATTATCCAAAAACCAGGGTTTTTAACGATCGTGAGGTCTACACCATTCGTTCTTCACACCAACAAAAAAGTTTTAATCAAAAACTTTGGAGCCTTTTTTTTTAATGTTTCAGGGGTTTCCTGTAATTTTTGCTACCCTAAAAAAAATTAAAATATCGGTTTTAAATTTTAGGCGCTGAGACAACAGCCAGATCGATTGGGGAATATTCATTTTGGAGAAAATGGGCTGAACGATTTAGCTGCTAGAGTAGTTCACAGACCTTCTGCCGTCATTCGATTTTTCGGTTTCAAGGACTCGCAAAACATAGATTCTGGCTACACTACGTTTTAGTGGATTTGTTTCTAAAATTAGCTACTGGATTTATCCACTTTCTTTTTACCAGGGTCCTGTATTAAGTGTTTTTCTGCCGAAAATCCCCCGATTGTTCGCGCAACTTTTTCTCTACTCCGTAGATATAATTTCGGATAATCATTGAAACGAATAAAATCGTATCGCAGGATTAGCTGAGTTTACCCTGCGTTATTCTATATGATCTGTAATATGACACATTCGACCAAAAGTTTTGAATAAAAAACTATCTTAATGTAACGATCACACTAAAATCAGTCGGGAATTTATATAGTATCCTTATGATTAGGAAATATAATACCTAGGGACAAATTTTGATAACCTGAAACACAGCCAAAAATGATCAATAAAACGCAATAAAAATTAATTAAAAACAAAAAATGACGTCAAAAATTGTTCAGACTAACAACTTAAGCTATTGGGTATGTTACTGATGTAATCCAGACTTCTTTCCTTTTGCTCAAGTGACCTCAGAATGTAAACTTTGGGTTTGGACTGATCTTTAAAAGAAAATGTCTGCCTTTATTTATCGCGAAATTGGCCTGACAATGGCACCGATAGGCGTCACAGGAACCTTAGATTTCATAGTACTCACAGAGAATAACATTACAATATACGAGGAATCGCATAGGCTACTCAGGAATTCTGTAGTGAACATTTGTTGCTCCTCCTAACTATTGTTTAAAACAAGCTCCAAAATGATATTCAAAACGATGAAATCAGGGAAATATGCATTAAAATTACGTCAAAAAATTACTTAATAGTTGAAATCGATGAAAAATGCAACAAAGACAAATAAAAAGGGGTAACTTTCTTTTGTCAAAACATAAAATGTATTTCTATACTGTCACGGTACGAGCCGATGGGCTGAAGAATTTCCATAAAAAAAAGGGGGGGGAAAGCGGACGTCCGCGACCCAGCTGTGAAAGGGGGTCGTAGGTACCCGCGCCCTTTCGGCTATTGAGGCGAGGGGTTGTATGAGATTTTATGACAGGACACCCCCGCGCGGTGTCGAAGGAGGGTTTGTCGGCAGCTGGGTCCTCGCCAAATGTCAAGAGGATTTCTCATACGCCCCCCCGCGACCGCTCGTCAAAGGGACCCAACGCTAATTGCGCCCACTCGGAGAGACAGATTACGACCTAATGGACAGTGGCGCACGTGCGGGTCCTAAGTAGGTCAGGCCCTCATATTTTCGCCGACAACGAACACTCTGGCCGTTAGAAAAAGGAGATCCCGCGTTATTGGTTAAAGCACGCCCTGCTCCGCGGAATTCAACCCCGCGTATCGGGAGGATCCTCGCTGGAAGAGAGGGGGTACCGAGGCTTCGTGATTCGGAAAGGCAGGTCTCACTGGACTTCTCTTTGTAACTTCTAGTTGTCACTTCGATTAGTAACATTGCACTTTTGAGCTTCTACTGGTCACTTCGACTTCAACTTTTAACTTATGCGTCTACTGTTAAACTGCTAATTTGATTTTGAGTTATCACTTAGCATTGGAAGCTTCTTGCGGAGGGAAGTTGACCCCTCGCGCACTCTGAATTATTCTGAAAGTAGTCCCGGAATGGGAAAGGTTCTCACTGGCCGTGTACGGCAATAATCCAATATCGGTGCGCCGTAGCACGCGGCCACGCGATTCGTTCAATTGATCACGTTTACGATTGTCGTCCGCGACCGCCGATACGGAAGGCGAATCACTTCCAATCCGCCATCGCCGGGGAGCACCGTAGCTGCCTAGTGGTTGATGACATCATCCATGAGTCCGGCCTGAGAGGGCGGCAACGCTAAACGGCCACGCTGGGGTATAGAACGATTTTCTTAAGAATGGGGTAAAGTGACAGTTCGCGAAACAAGAGAACATCACGTGTACTTCAGAGAAGTAAACACGTGCACCGTCACGAGTACGCATCTCACATTCAAGACTCGATTTTAAAACAAGCATAATACTTATCACATAAAAACTAAATTCAGTGTAATTTTTATAAAAAGAAAGGACTTTTACAGAAGAGCATAAAGCTCTGCACTTCCTAATTTTAATTATTTCTTCGGGCGCGCTACATTTTCGTCGGACGAGGACATCACAGCAGGGAGCGTCGTAACTATTTACAAGTTAGCCAACTGCAAACGAACGAATGGAGGAAGGAGAGTCTAATAAGTTGAAGGACACAACGACCACAGAATCGTCAGTTGTGTTGCCAGCACTAGCTGTCAAATCATCCCATTCTAAAGAAAATCGGACAATACAGCCGTGGTAACCGCAGCTGTCTGGACGGGGGGCCTCCTTGACGCCGGTCGACGACCTCACCACCGGGCGTGCTGTGATCCCGCCGCCGACAACAACGCAGGGTAATAATCCACGTTGCTCCCGCTCGAATGCGATTGGGCATTTGCTGAGCGAAGCGGGGAAGAAGGTGCCATCAGCACGAAGATTTATGACGGCCCATTGATTGATTTATTATTATATCGAGTCAAACAAATATCAAAGTTATTTAAAATAAGGTTCTCCTTATCATTACTGTCAATCATGTGTAAACCATCACCATCATCATCATTTCAGTTAGTAAATGTTTGTTAACAAAGTGTCATGTCTCTTATTATTGAAAATCCCATTCCTGCTCCAGAAGCCACATAACCGTATTATTAAAGGAGGGTTACAATGCTAAACGGCAGTGTTCTAAAGTGAAAAGAAAACAGATGACGTTTCATTAATATTCACCCCCTACTAATGACTAGGAAGAGGAACTTTCGTCTAAATTTTCAAGTTTGATTCAAACAATATTAAGGTGAATGTTTTCTTTACAAACAGCGCATCTTTCCTTAAACTGAATTACTATCTCCATTGTTCCACACAACTACAACTTTATTGACAAGGTGTTTAACTTTGTGTTGCACCTTGTGATTCTATTTACTCATCAGTAAATCAAAAAGTTTTATCATATAACCAACTTTTCATTACTTGGATTTCATTTCCAAATTAAGAAAGAAAGTTTGATAGATTCATTAATCTGAACTGACTTTTAAATAGTTACAAGTCCTTTTTAATCTGATTAGTGCATTCAAAGGCTCTAACTTGGGTTCAAATAACAGTGAAAACCTCACTGGATCGTTCTCAGTAGATTTCGACCGCAGAGTGACAAGACTTCGGATACATTCAATCTCCAGGATTGTTGTTCCTTGCGTTGGCCCCGTAACCTCCAAAATGCCTCGCCTCCCGTTGCCGGTGCCCAAGTTCCTTGAAGTACGCGGTCGGATACCTCTGCTCCTCGCTGTCTCGGGTATCCAAATATTTTCTCTCCCAATCACTTGACGTACAAAAGGGAAGTGAAATCAACCAAAGTAACGTTGTCGAATAGCTGTTCTATTACCATATAAATAATCTGAAAGAAAAAACAATCACGTGTAAATTACACTTGTATGTTTTACGCACGTCCTGTCTGCTTTCGAATCGTTACGTTGTATTTTACATTATGCACGCTTCCTTTCACATATTTCTTATATGTTCAAATTTAGAGTGAAATAAGTTCATTTACCTCTTCTGAATGTCTGCGAAGAGTTTCAGTAGTGTGCGGGAGTATTCCGTAGTTGCAGCACAGTTTCTTCGACTTGCGATGTTACTGAACACGACTTGAATGTTTGCTTGCTTCGTGGTAAAAGAATGTTCTTTGAGTGGCTGTTCCAGAAAATGTTCCACTGCTCGTGTGATGCTTTCATGTGCATTTGGGGAGAGCAGGGTTCCCATTAGCTTTAAGCCATTCTCCACTTATAAAACAAATATATTAATTTTACAGGTACCATTAGCAAATGTATTCGTATAATAAAGAAGCAGTATTCATCGATAAACTACATGCATAAAAATGAAAAATAAAAAAATGTAACTTACTGTTTCGCCTATCTTGGGAACCCAAATAGACGTGTTAATGGCTAATTTCGCTTTCACATTTTTGCAATTGGGCACCCAGCACCTTCTCGAAGCAATAATGCACGCTCCAGACTTGAAACGTAGCAGTAAATCACAAAATTTCTCGAATTCACTGGCCGCTAACTCCCATTAGGAGCACTACGAAGAGCACGTGAACGCAACGCCATTCGGTTGTCTAGAAAGAAATCCAGCGGTAATCAACTGGTTCGAACGCAGAGAAATTTCAAAATGAGTAGTTCACCGATTCACCGCTAAAGCGAGTTAGCGTTGTACAGATGTATATTCAAATAATTTTAATCAACCAATCATCATTCTTTCACCTGCTCGAAGTCGCACACTGTTTTCGTTTTTCTCGTATTTTGCCTTCTCTAAGCCAGACTCTTATATTTCTCTTTTTGATGCATAAAAATGAGAGAAAAACCTATATTGTTTCTTTTTTATTAAATAATTGAGAGAATAATATTTCTATCTCGTCTCCGAATGAAAATAATTTCCCCCAAAAAACTCTACAAACATTTCCCGATGTTCCCCATTCTGCCCCCACAACGAAACAAAATCCCCATTTTGGGGACAAAATTCTGCCATCTGGCAATCCTGCCCCCTCCCACCTCAATCGTCTGGCCCACTCCCCCCCCAATCGCAATCTTCTGCTTACTGCTTCTGTTTATTGGTTGGAAAGTGTTTCTTTGCTGTAATTCTTGAGATTAGTTATGGAATATATAGGTAGAATATACTTTTCAGGATTGCCAGTGCTGTATTATTTGTTATAAGAAGGTTTACAGAAATAAAACACTTGAACTCGTTTGACTATTTATTGTGAAAATCAAATGTTAAGAAACATATTCATGAATATACAAGTGAAGCATTATAAACAATATTTCAGATCGTTCATTAAACATAGTATACAAGTATGACAAAACAAGAATGAAAGTTTTATAATGTAATTTATTATTTCTCAATATGATACATATTTAATTCAGAAGAATTTTAGACAACAATAGTCACATCGTCAGGGAAATTTATAAACAAAAGTTCCAATTAATATTGACTATAAATAACCTACCTCGCAACAGAATTAAATTTATACTTATAATAATTTCCACAATCACGAATATGAAGTTATTTTCACTTTTTGACAATTTATTCTTAAGGCTAATTAATGACTGAATAAGAGATTAGAAATATTTTTATCGAAAACGACTCTTTGCCCAGAACAGTGAACTGTCTCGAATACCTGATTAAATATAAAATTTAATATTTTGATGTCCACAATATTTATATTAGAAATGTTACCTAATAGAAGTCTAAATATTATTTTCTTCTCAAAAGGAAGTATTAGTTAATACAGATCATTGAAATTATTATATTACTTGAAGTAACAATAACATATGAACTCAAGAATAAAAAGTGGACTTCCTATTAATGAAAGTTGTAAAACACGTTTTATAATATATTATATTATTTTAATAGAACAGAAATGTTCTTATAAAATGAATTTTGATGTTACTCATTTCTAAAAAAAAATACTCGTACAAACATTTAGTGATAGCAGGCTTTTGAAGATTAAAGCAATGTAGTTTGCAATTTTGAAATATATCTACCAATGATGTTTTAAATATGACTGAAATTACGTGCTTCCTGTTGTTTATTTTATAAACTATCACATATCGCACCTCCAATAGAAAAGTGACACAAGTGCGAAATCCTTATTTTTCAGCTAAAAGTTGATAAGAGGTTACCAACAGGTGTACTATACTGCTACTATTCTGAAGTTGATTTTGAATTAATTCAATTACTGTCCGCTAGAAGGTGAATACTTGGTACAATATATAACGAGTATTACAGAACTGCGAAACGTAAAATTGCAATTTCTGAGGAATCAGAAATTCGCACTTGTGTCACTTTTCTATTGGAGGTGCGATGTATTATGTATTTTGTGTTACTCTTTCGAGAATTCGCATTATTTCTCTGTCTAAAATTAGCATTTTCTCTTCTTACACTTGTAACATTTGGTTGGGACTAGAAAAATTGTATCAAAACATTACCTTCAAAGGTTGTAAATTTTACCTAGAATCAAGAGTCCGTGGTAGGGATAGGCGATTATTGAAAATCATCGAGAAACATCTAATCGATTAATTTCAGTGTTCGATTAATGTTCTTCGAAATTTAAAATAAAATTAATCGATAAATTATTTACATGTTTTAAATAATGCAGGAAACTTTAAAATCATTTATTTTTAATTTGTGCCACTACGTGAAAGTCAATGTTAAAACACGTTGAAATAAAAGTTAAGTTGTTAAGCATGCTGTAATTCAAATATAAATCGCACCTACAATCTTTCAATTGTATTAGTTTTTCTATCAAGAAGCCAATCGTTAATATTTGTCTCTGTTTTCTGTAGTCGGACAGAAATTATGAGGGGATGAATTCTATTATTTTAGTTTGAGAGTAGGGTCTAGGTATTTTGTCTAGAACATTAACATTTGAATTAAAATAGAGCAAAATAATAAAAAATAATCAGCGTAAAAATAAACGATTTTAATTTTTTAATTAATTATGAGACAATCGATTATTGTTCTAAACTCAATCAAATCGCCCATCCCTAGTTCATGGCACGATGCAAAGGTATGGGTGAGCTGCTCCGGCACACCGATTTTTGCTCGTTCTGCGCAGCAACAGATACGTCACGAACCACGTGACCACAAAACTGGCACTTCATTTGAAAAGCCAGGCCAGACGCCGGCAGCCGTATTGCATAGCAAGTAAGGAGCGAGGAGAAACATTTTGAAAGTAGCATGAAATGACAATTTTTAACGGTGACGTCGCCCCCCCCCACACACACTAAACACGATGAAGGTGTAGTTCAAATAATACATGCGATATTTTAAAAAATGCTTTATATACCTATTTCAATGACATGCAACAAGGCTTTTTTGTACCTGACTGCATTTAAAATTCCTGCTAGCATTGTGACACAAGCTGGTGCGTGAAGCTCATTGGCTGACGTCGAATCGATGCGCAATAGCATACCCATGTCTTTCCACCTAGCCCATTCCTAGTTCACAGTCTAATAACTCAGTCCCGCAGTTTCAAGTGAGTGTTTTGACCTGGCGCCACACTAGCACCTCTAAGCGGCCAGTAAGTTGAATGTACTTCTGTTGTTTCTGTTCCTTGTAACCCAAGGTTACGTGCAGAACGTTTCGAGAGAAGTCAGTTAATGCTCAACTTGCGCAACTTCGAAGATAAATAGGAAATATTGAATTGTAATTTAGGGTGCCAATTGTTCAGATTATTGTAAGCATGTAGGAAAAGGAAACAGAAATGTGGAATGTATGAAAATAATTGTGTACACATATTAATTATCTCCTTTGTTTATTTTTGCGTGGTCTGTGAATATGAATGTTGAATATAGCCTTTGTACATTCTGTTGTATATATAGGAACATGGAAGGAACCTCCTGGCAACAGTAAATAAACTGGCTTATCCTTGTACTAATTAATTACTGTGACAGTGTTATGATAGGGTTTCCAGAGACCTAGTTGAAAAAACCAAAACATTACACAAAAAGTCTTTATAATGACATACAGGTACAGTTTTTGTGTGTTCTTTTGTCTTGTTCTTATAGTTAGAAACCCTGAGTTTAACTTCTAATATCACTTTTTTTTCTCTAAAGCAGTTTTATTTTTTAATGTAATTATGTTAGAAATATTAAAATTACAATAAACAATAAAAATATACAGACTAAAAAATCAAGTCTTTTGAAAACAAATCAGGACAGTCAGAGCAAGGTCCAGAAATAAGGATATGTCCTGATAAATCAGGACATCTGGTAACTTTATAAGTTATGACACTGATGTAATCTCTAGAAAGCAATAATTGATAATAAATGAATGTAACTGAAATCGGACGTTTCTGTTATACGTACACCAGTTCACTAACGGGAAGTTTACGGCTCATTTTCCTTAGACACGAAACATTTCGTTCACGAGAAAGGAGTCGGTTGTCAACAATGTAAACAGATGTACGTGTGATACAAAACAATCAACATTTACTCTTTAAATATTCGTTTTCCTCCACACCTACATTATCCCTCTTGCCTGTTAGCGATGCTACATCTGCAGTGGGGCCCATTTTCAGCGTACGAAATATGTACAGAGCTGAGGGACTGAGTTATTAGACTGTGTGCCTAGTTCAAGGATACTCAGAGAGTGAGCCAACTTGTCCTATGGTACCGGTATTGGGACTCCCATGTCTTCTAGTACCTGGCCAATGCACTTGAGAAGGTGCTTCACGTCGTTAGGGTACAGGTCTCCAATACAGCCGATGCGAAAGCACTCGACAGACGTTATCTTGCCTGGGTAAATAACTTGACCTAGAAAAAGAAAATGGCGATGTAGGAGTGCCATCGAGCTAGAATATACTACATACATAGCTATACTATAATACTATATACTATAATACATAGAGTGGCTGTCCCTATAGTTTCAGCGCTCTTGGTGGAGGCTCATCGAACTAGAGGCCGCCATGTTTTTTAAAGCCAGAACATACGAGTGGCGGCGTAACAGTTCTAACCAGCGGCAAACGTAATGCTAGAATACTTTGTTTCCCAGAGGGCGCTGTTTTATTAATCAATTAATAAAAACTAAAATATTAATACATTTCTTTCAAAATACCATTTCAAGTTTCTTGATTCAAATCTTTATTTTTATATAGCTCATTATATTCTGCTTTCTTACAAAAAATAATATTTTCCACACCAGTTTTTGCGAGTTCATTTCCGTTTAAGGAAAAAATTAAGTAGAAAATTGAAAAAATGGATGTTTGTCACACCCTTTTCTAATAAATATTATAAAACTCACTCGATTCTACGCACTGCTTAATGTTTTCCTGCCGCAGCGAATGCGTAAATGCCATGTAAAAAATGAAATAGTAAAAATGTGTCCGAAAACGCTCGCCGACCGACTCAAGAGAGGAACTCTTTCGCCTCTGCCCAGCCGAACGGGAAAACTCTTTTGAGTGTGTGGGGGTCGATACGCATTCTTTGTGGAGGCCAAGTGGGGGTGGGGTGGGGGGCTTACCGAGGGCGCTGAGGCGCTGGTAGAAGTCGGCGAAGGCAAAGCGCGCGTGGCGCGGGTAGAGGAAAGCGGTGATGACGGGGCAGAGCGCGTCCGCCGGCAGCAGCGGCCGCAGCCCCAGCTCGCGCGCGCCCGCCACCAGCAGCGACGCGTTGTGCTCATAGCGACGGCGCCGCGCCGC